CCGGCGGCAGCTCACAGAGTTGAACGCGCTGGAAAATAAATCTTGGTGAGAAAAGTGAATATGTTGGCATCGGGAGTCTTTCCAGACAGGAAACTGCTGAAGACCAAATTTTTTGGTTTTTTTTTTTTTTCCATGAAAAATTAGATGCCTAGATAGTTACTGCACACGCTGCTGAGTAAGAACTCTGAGGAGAACTCTTGCATAATTTCAGGGCTTGGCCTGAGATGGGTGAGTTGGGGGCTTCTCAGTTTTCCGTTACTGCCTGGCTGTAGAATACAGCAGAATCATGAAGGTGAGGGCTTGCTGAATATCCCTTTAGCTTATCAACTTTTTAGAAGTATTCAGTATTTGGCGGTTTTCAAATAGCTCTAGAAAAAAAGGTGTTGATATTTTTGCTGAGTGTTTCTGAGGCAAAACTTGGGCGTATGAAAATGTTTTGGAGGTAGTTCATCCATAGGAAAATATCTTCTGTTAGAGTTCTTCAGAGCAGATTTTTGCTTCGTAGCTTAAGGGTGTACTTGATCACATTTCAAAAAAAAAAAAAAAACCTCTTAACTTCACTGCTCTGACAAGTAATCTAAAGAAAGCTCTTAGTACAAATATGCTATCCCTTTTAGAACAGGGACTCTGGCAGGTGAGTCACTCACTGGGTGAGTTTTACATTGTCTCACTGTGGGTGAGTCTTACCTTGTCAGTTTTTAGTTTTTCTGCCCAGACCTTCCACTGAAGGTGTTTGTCCCTTTGTAACAGTGACAGAAATGACCATGGGTCAGTTGTTGCAGTCCAGCCTGATATTTTGGCTCCAGCTAACCTTTGTTGCTGAGGGCTGAGATGCGAGGTTGTCAGCTGGGGTGCCTGAGTTTCGGCATCTGTTACTGCTGCTATGAGCCAATGATTTTGAGGATAATGGCACAGGGTAGGGGCGTCTTAATCCCCTGCAGCGAGGTTCATGGGATGCTTCTAATTTCATGCTTTTCTTCCTTTTACTCGTGAAAATAGCTTAGGAAAAAGATATCTACTTTAACTCTTTAGTTCTAAAACAGTTTAAGCCAGAATATGCTGGTGCTAAATGAGGCAGTGTGTGTTGCTCTTTCCTGCCTCTGTGCCTCTTCTCTTCCGTGTGCCTGTGCAGAGCTCTGTAGATATTAGCATTGGTCCCAGAATAGTGTAATTAGTTTTTCAATAGGGCTATTAAGTCCAGGCACACTGCCATACTGCTGTAGCTATAATAATTCTGTTTCTAGAACTAGCTCTTTCTGAGTTAGCGTGGCTATTTCTTTTATGGGAACTGCGCTTGCGCTCCTCATTAGCCTCTTTTTTTGGCAATTTAACTGGCTTGGTTGCAGTGACCTCATGTGCTCATTTCATATATTGAGTAACAGTAGTTTGATAGAAGTGGTTAAAAAGTATATTTCTTTTCAGTTAACTGACTTCTTTAAAAACTCGTTAGGGTTAAATAGTCCGTTCACAGTCACATGCAGGTGAAGGTGATTCTTTAGGAAGCAGCAATGTTCAAAAATTCAGTTTCTTTCTCAGTGTTTGATTGCCCTCCCCCCTTTCTTTCTCCTCTCTAGCTACAAATCAGTGGTTCCTCCCTGCTGTAAGGGGAGACATTCCTCCAGGCTGTGCAGCCCATGGATTTGTTTGTGATGGTACCAGGATACTAGTTTTTGGAGGAATGGTTGAATATGGAAGATACAGTAATGACTTATATGAATTGCAGGTAGGAGATGTATGAAGACGTTTTCATTTCGACGACTATTTTATCTATGTATTTATGAACAAACACATTTTATATTATGAGCTGCAGTGGAAAGTTAGATGAGATTTGCTCTGCTTAAGGGAAAACAAACTCTACAAATAGATTTTGAAGGTGCAGAAAAGTTAAATAATTTTTAAAAAGAGATTTCCATCAACAGCAGCATAGAAGAGTCTAAATGAAGTGTAAGATATTGAAAGTAATTTCACGAAGCTTAGCGCTTACATGTTGCTATTAACATATGCCATAAGAAAAGCACAGATTTTCCTTACAAATCATTCAGAAATAAATGAGTGTTGATGTAACCTGGGAATTCAAATAACATTAGTTTATTGACTGAACGAATATAATTGAAGATATTTCTGAATATGTATATTTTTTGTCTTTAAGGCAAGTCGATGGCTCTGGAAAAAAGTAAAACCTCAAGCTCCTTCTACTGGATCACCACCTTGTCCTAGACTTGGCCACAGCTTTTCTTTGTATGGTAACAAGTGCTATTTATTTGGTGGCCTGGCAAATGAAAGTGAGGATTCAAATAATAATGTTCCCAGGTATGCTGATTTGGTCTAAATTAAATATCTTTAAAAATAAGTGACTAGATGAAACAGCTTCTAAGAAATGAAGAGGAATATTCTGGGGAGGCTGTCCCGTGTACTGAGTACTGATGTTTTGATTATTGGGGGGGTTTGGGGGCATTGCATGCTAAGAAGCTTTAACGTTTCTTCTGCTAATCTCACTGACTGAAAGCTGTGACACTTCTGCAGGGAAACCTGAAATGACCTTGGTGTATCCCCCTAATATTTTTGGTAGGTGGTTTAAGAACGCTTATTTGTTAGGATTACTTAAATAATCAATGTCTCATGAGTCATCAGTGAATTTACAATGGAAATTCAGTTTCCACTACAGTGCTGTGGAAAGCAGTTACAAATCCATCTGGAAATTCTTTAGAGTAACGGTTGAAGTCAGCTTTTCCTATCGGTGGGTGAATAACACTATGCCAAAGCCGAAGGTTTTTGTTTCCACGTTCACCTGCATTTGAGGGTACCCAGGGAGCTACAGGCTGGCAATTTGAAGCTCATTAAACAAGAGTTATCTGGTGCGAATGCCAGGATTCAAAGACAGTTATCTAAAAATAACTTGCCACTAGATTCAGCAACAAATAGCTAGTTGTGTGTTGGCCAACCTGAAGTCTTCAGGAAAGCAGCTTCCTCCCCACCCCTCGCCCCCCCCCTTTAATGCCTTATAGTTGCAGAAGTTCATATCTTTAATGCCCATATCATAGTGCATTTCTCACAGCTTTGAAGTTTTTTCCAAGTTTGTCTGTATGTAACAAATTTTGCTAAGAATATTGTTGCCAATTTTGAGCATTTCCTTCGTAGAATGCAGTTATCTGGTATCATATGAAAGCATGCTTTCTTAGAGGTAACAAGTTGCAATAGTTATTTTTTGGTTTTAGATCCGCTTACTTTTGGTCCTGTCTGTTTCTAACTACCATAGTACTCTTAAGAGAGAGGCTGCATCGAGTAATGATCTCTTTAGTTTCCTTTTTCTTCTAAATAATAAGTTGGACTTCTTGTTCATATTTTGGAGTTTGAGAGGGATGGTATTGTCCAGCATGCTGTCAGATGTTTTGGGAGGACGGTAAAATGCAAGCACTTCTGTGACATAATTCTGTAATATTTGGAAGGGTTGAGGGTCTAAAGCTCGTTTGTAATCCTGTTTATAAGCGTGTTTTCCATGCTTTCTCAACAATACCGTAGATATTTAAATGATTTCTATGAACTGGAGCTGCAACATGGTTCTGGAGTCGTAGGCTGGAGTATTCCTGTGACCAAAGGGATCTTGCCATCTCCCCGAGAATCTCACACAGCCATCGTATACTGCAGAAAAGATTTGGGAAGTCCAAAGATGTATATTTTTGGAGGGATGTGTGGCTGTAGGCTTAATGATCTTTGGGAGCTTGACATAGGTGAGTTCGTTTGCTGTTATAAGTCAGTGCGGGGGGGGCCTAACTAGCTGTGAAGAAAAATTAAAGTATATGTGAATTAATGATATGATGTATCGCAGGTTTTGTTAGGACCTATCCAACCCTTTTGCAGTTTTTGGAATGGCGTACATGCTGTATTGTTTGCGTATGTTATCCTCACTGATGTTGTTTATGCTGTGAGATTGTCTGTTTCCTTAGAGTGCTTTAAAAACCGTCGCTATGATAACTAGGTTTAATAACCATAACGAAAGTCAGCTTAATGCATCTTCCTGATAAGCTGATAAACAGCTAGTTTGCCAGTATTTTCTATGAATTTTAAAAGAATCTTTAAATGCTTCTTAGTCTTTTTTGGCAGCCACCTTTAAGAAGGTGAAATTTTCTTTTGTTGAATATAGTTAGAGGTATGTTCCCTCCTAAAATCCATGTACTGAAATACACAGTAATAACCTGTTTGAGGATTTTTTTTAACTCTTTTTTTTTTTTTCTTTTAGAAACCATGACCTGGTCAAGACCAGAAACTAAGGGGACAGTACCGCTTCCTCGCAGCCTCCATACGGCCAATGTAATAGGAAACAAGTATGTCTGTTGTTAAAAGCTCAACTATAGAAAGGTACACCTAGCAGGAGAATGATGATGCTTACCCCCTACTGTTCAGTATAAACCATCAACCCTGTCGTCCTGTGCTTTTCTGATTCTGTTATGCTGCCTCAGTAGAAATTTAAAAGTGCCACTCTTATATAAGGTTATCAAACTGTCAGTGTTTCCATCCAGCAGGATCTGCCCAACACCCAAGCAGTTCTCCAGGCTTCTTAATGCACCTTTTGTGAGTTCTGGGATGGGACTCAGCTGGACCAAAGCTGGCTCTGTCAGGAGCCAACTTGAGTGACTCTGTGGCACAGTGAACTAACTCTGCAAAGAAACTGCCCAAAGATTAGAAATGGTTCTAGGCAAAACCATTCCATGCTTTCGTGGGTCAGTTGTGGTCTGAAAATCCGCTCCTCGTTACTTTGTTTCTTGCCAGTATGACTTATTTTGAGAGATAGTTTTGACAAAATGGACTGTTATATGTGAATTTCAGTCCATTTCATGTCAGTTTGCGAGTTGGGGTGAGGAGAAAGAGGCAAGGAGGGAAAGAAGTGAGAAAGATATCTTCTACACAAGAACTTAGCTTTATTATTTATATAAAACTTTATTATAATATTGTACCATGACTTTAAATTTTGATATCTGACTTTGATATCTGTCTTCTGATTTTTAGAGTGGTTTATTGGGAGGCCTACAGTAAAGGGATGTAAAAATTCCATGTAAATGTGTAATTTTGGAGAGTGTTAGCAGTTTGGTGATTTGTAAACAAGATGCAGCATTAACCTCTGTTTCTGGGAGTTATGTTTAAAAAATAATAATAAATTTAAAAACTTCACAATTAACTTACTCAAAATCTTCAAAAGCTAGATATATGCAACAGCACTTTCTAAAGAGAGTAGGCATCAATAAAATCTGCTGTAAACCAGAACTGTAAAGCTCTGGAAATTTTCTGTTTTGTCCTGGTATGAGAGAGCACATGCAGCAGGCCTGAAAATGTTAATTAGCTTCTCTTTTTTTTCCCTCTTCTCTCTTTTCCTATATTTCAGAATGTATGTTTTTGGTGGATGGGTTCCACAGTCAACAGGAGGTGAAATTTCTGCTCCTGATGGTGAATGGAAATGTACCGGTTCATTTTCTTACCTAAATTTGGGTTAGTGCTTCTGCCTTTCTGGGAGCGGGTATTTTTAATTAATACTTTCTTAACAGAGTAAAATAAATATTTTGAAAACCCTGAGTAAAGTTTTAAGATACAGAGTTGTAAACCTAAGTGACTAAACAGGACCTCAATTTTCACATCTTATTTAGGATATGATTTTTACTGTCAATTTGCCTATTTGTTTGAATACTCTTTGGACAAATGAAGGACACTTTTTTTGAACATTCGGCTGTTTTATCAGTGAAAATTCTTATTCGTGCAACTTTAATATTAGATAATATAAATACTCCTGCTTCATGTATAATACAGTGTGTTAGACAATATCTGAAATCAGTTTGTTTCTCAACTGTGATAAAATTGTCCCTGAATCTTCAACTTCTGATTTTGTGTTTGTCTGACAGAGACAACCAGATGTCAGAAAGTTAATCCTGTTTCAATTGATCGTGTATTGCAAATTAATTGGAATTTTGGTTCAGGTGACCTTCTCTTTGGTGTAATTTTACAAGCCAGCAGATGCTGAAAATTTAAATGCAATCATCTGTAAAAACAGAGGTGATTTATTTAAGTGTACTAACATCTGTATTTCTTGTTTTAGTAAACAACTAGAAACTGAATTTTTTAAGTTTCGTTTACTAGATACCACAGAATGGATAGGTCTGATCTCAGATTGCCAGGAAGACAAAGGTAACTTGCTGCCAGGGCCAAGAGCAGGACACTGTGCTGTAGCTGTGGGCACCCGTCTGTATATCTGGAGTGGTAGAGATGGTTACAGAAAAGCTTGGAACAATCAAGTTTGCTGCAAAGATCTTTGGTACCTTGATACTGGTGAGTCAGAAATAAATGAGTAGAGACCTGTACTATGTTCCATGTTTTATTAACATATGGAAAGCTGGCATCATCGGTGTTCAGAAGCTTTAAAGCTGTAGCAAGCTTAAAGATGCTTTAAATTCTAAGCTTATTCTAATAAAGCACCCTTCTTTTGTTTGTTTGAAGACTGCAGCTATAATTTAAACTGGAAAAAAACCAGGAAGGCTTATTTAAAGCCTTTGAAAGAGAACTTTGGCTAAATTCTATATCACATGCTAGAGCTGGTAGATACAAAGGTGTACTAAAGGGTGTATTACCTAAACTCAAGGTTCCTGGCCGCCGCTGCTGCTGCTTACCCTTTCTTACCAAACCCCTCCTTCTCTTGGGGTCATTCCGGCTGCTGCTGCTTCCTCATCTCTTGGACGGCAAAAAGATACTGTTCAATCTGAGAAGGGACAAAATTCTTCCTGGGCTTGAAGGGAATTCTGGAGCACTAGTCAGTCATTATTAGCTGGTATGATGGTTGTTCATTTATTAGCAGGGCTCTGAGATGGTATTGAGAGGGAGGAAGGGAGGGAGGGAACTAGAATAGTGTTGCTGGGCAGTAGTTGTTCCTTGCTCTAGAGAAGGATGAGAAAAGTTACGGGAAGCTGTGAACAGCTTAGAGCAGTGGAGATCATGTTTTGGGGGTGTGTGTTTGTTTTTTTCCCTTCCAGGAAGATTTCTCTCAGAACAGAGAAAGAGTAGTTGGTGGGATATGCCTGAGAAATGCAGCCTAGTCAGGCATCAAGGCAAGCGAAGGGGCCAGGGCTTCAGCACAGCATCGTGCCAGACCTGCAGCCTCTGGAGAGGGGGTTCACTCTGGCTACAGAGAGCAAGCAGAAAGGGAGCCTGGTCTCCTGTGAATTCTTTCCAGGAATACATAAAGCTTTGGGAGCCAAAGAACTGTGTGCACCCCTTGTTAGGAAGGGAAGAGGATCTCCTGTCTCGGTAATCCTTAAGGTGATATGTATAGAACCCAAAGACTTGCTGGCAGCAGCAGAACTGTTAAGAGACTAAGAAAAGGCATCAAAACTTCAGCATTTTTCAACACTCTAGAATGGCAATTCATCATTCTCTGACTTGATTTGTAATCTTTGAGAACGGTTTCTTGTTGTATCTGGCATATACTGTACATAGATGAAAAAGCTATTGATTTTCTTTGCCTTATGCAGTTATTTCCTAAATTGATAAAGGAGGGCAATTTCAAACATACTATCTGTGTTTCATTGCTTTCCTGAAGAGAAACCTCCAGCACCGTCACAGGTACAGCTGATTAGAGCTACAACCAACTCTTTTCAAGTGAAATGGGATGAAGTACCTACAGTTGAAGGGTATCTACTTCAACTACATTCTGACTCACCAGTGCCACCAGTGGCTGGGACACCTGGAACTGCAGTTCCTGAGACATCGGTGCTCAGTTCACAAGGTAATAGTCGCATCACGCCATGCTAATCTTTGTCCAAAGGTGGAATAGGGATTTGCATAAGTACTTAGCAGGAGTTTGTTTAAGGAAAACAATTTAAAAGAATCGCTTTGAGAGCCACTCTGAATCTGAAACTTTGATTATTCCCAAAATGTGCATAATGTAATTATGCATATTCTGTATGAAAACTTCCATAATTATGGAAAATTCAGTTTTAACCTATCTCTGTGGGATATGACCATGAGCTGCCTGAATGGATATATTTGCAGGTATATATTTGTACAATGCAGGGCATGATTTGAGAAAGGAGACCATGAAGAAAGGATTTTAACTGACAATTTGGCCTTAGGATTTCATTTCAGTATTACAACCAAATCTTCTTGTGTGCAGCTTTGGATCTCCCCCTTGCTTACTGGAATAGATTCCACCTAACATAACATTAAGCTTTATGTAACTGATGGGAATTTGCTTTTGTTTACCTGAAAGGTGGCTCTTCTCTACATCAGAGTCCGCAATCCTTGACTAGCATCCCTTATCCAGAAATGAAGGCGGATCATCCCAGCCAAACAAATAGTGTCATTCCTAATAACGTAAGTATAAACTCCAAAAAGCTTAATTGCCATAGTAGCATGGGAAGCGAGAGGATTGCCAAAACACTTGCTCAGTTCTAAAAGTCCTTGCCTACTACTTAGGCCTTTTAAAAAAAACAAACAAACAAAAAAAAACCCTGCTGAAGTAGTTACGCTGGTTTTTTGACATCCTTCTCACTTTTGTGATTGACAGGCAGACTTTAAAGACCTCTTCATGGTAATGCATGAAGGACACTGCAACTGTACTGGCTTCCAGAATGCTAGCTGGGAGCCTGATACCAGTAGAAATACTTTTCATCCTCAGAATGTTGGTGAAATTAATGTGTGAGGCAAAAGGCCCAAGTCATGTTCCTTCTTTGTTAGGGTTTTGTTGACAGTTTAATTTGTAATAGGTTCCTTCTACAGTATAAGTCCAACTATTATCTATTCTGGTTGTGCAGTTGCACATATTCTACTGTTTTGCCTATTTAAAAGGAGGAGAGGGAGACAAACTCTGGATAAAGGATCCCATTTTAAGAAATTCAGACTTTTTCTTAATTGTGTTAGGCCTCAGGTCTGTATTGGATCCACTGGCTACCTTGGATAATCTGTTCTTGTAGAAAACGCTCATAGATGCACTGTGAATTTTACTAACAGTAGAAATATCTTAGGTATGTGCTGGGAAAGCGAAGGTTGAAAGCCTTTGTCATTGCGATTTCAGCCCCCCCATCCCCTCCAATAATCTAAATATATGCATCAATGAACTTTCATCTAATAGGGTAAAAATACGAGCCTACCCCCAGATAAAACTTAGGATGGGGACAGAGAAACTTCCAAGCCAGCTTATAGTTTATAAGTCTTTGTTTTTTTTAATGCCTATAAAATAAGGTGGATTACAAGGTTGGTTACTTGCTTTAATTTAAAATGATGGGGGATTGGTTAGAGGATTTGTTTGTCATTTCTGAGCAAGCCTTTTCATGCCATGTTTGTGAGTAAAATTTCTAGATTTTGCAGTTAAACATTAACAAATGTATTGTTTTGGTTAGGTCCAAGTCTCCCTTTCATCCAACTCATTATTAAAAATAGAAGGAAAAGAAAAGATTGCAGCACCTGAAAACAAGATTACACAAGAGGCTATGAAAAGCCATGCAGATGCTACAGGATTCAAAGAATCAAATGCCCCTTCTCTTTTGCCCGTTTGTACTTCAAGTAAGATATTTATAGAATAAAAATGAATTTAAAAACTGAGAGTTAAAATTAATCTCAAACACAGAATACCATTCTGTCTATGTTTTGCCATTTAAAGTTATTTTAGATGCCTTTTATTTAAAAAATAACCCTTGTGCTGGTTATTACTGTACATATGCTTTAGAATTTTGAGGAAGTGAGGAAAAACGAGATCATAAATTATTTGAACTGTTGCAAGGAACATGAAATTCTCAATATATTCATTATTATGATGGCAAATGTATCTGTGTCTAAGCATAAATAGCCCTATTAACCTCAAAGACCAGATTGACAGGACCAGATTCATCTCACTCAGATGAGGCATTTAGGTTAAGATCATAGCTACTCCAGGCTCCCTTTGACAATACTTCTCTTAGTAGTAAAGAGCTGTTAGTCTATTTAAGATCTGATGTGACTCAGAGAGGAGTATGTTTCTCTAACTACAAAGGGAATAGAAGATGACTAGGCTCTGATTTAGGCATCTTTCTGAAGTACCTTACATTTGGTGGGGTGAATCCAGGTCCTAACACCTGACCTGTTTATGTTTGATTTTTGATGCGAGTAATTTATACATAGTTGGCATTTTCATTTTTGTATCAGTATAAATTCAGTTATTGTGTGGAAAGTTTGGATCCTAAAGTGTTGAGCAAGAGACAGACTTCCATAATTAATAATCTTAAATTGAATGACATAAAATCGGTGTTATAAGTCTGTGATTTTGGTTTGTATGGATGCTTCTTCTTATATTAGGATTCTTTTTCTGAATTAAACCATTCTTAACAAAATAGATGTAGAATAACAAGATTAAAACTAATTAAATCACTCTTTTAGTGTAACTACATGTGTGTAAATTTTTTTTTTAAGTATATAGACAGACTATTGTTAAACTAAATACCGAAAGAAAGTATTGGGAGTGAATTTAATCAGCCCTAATCAAAAACTGGGCTAAGCTCTGCTTTTATGTCAAACTGAAGCCATTAGATCAAGTTGAGATTTGTTAGGTATCATCAGTATTGAATTCTGGTTAATATTTTCTTTAAGGTCCTCAGACTTCAGCAAATGTAGGTGAATTACATGACTTGGACAAACGAACTGTAAATCCTGATGCTTCTGTATCCAGTACTGTCTCCAGCACACAAACTATGGTAACCCAGCAGGCTGTTAAAACTGAATCATCAAGTACAAATGGGGCAGTTGTTAAAGATGAAACTTCACTAACAACATTCAATTCAAAATCTGAAGGTTTGAAATGTGTTTCACATACTGTATTTTGAGCCATATTTATCTAAGGCCATCAGAGTTCCTTTAGTGTGGTGGGATTCTTATCTTGACTAGTACCTGGGACTGAGATAGGACTCTGGGCATTGATGACCTTGGGCAGCCTGAATGATCTCTGCCATGATTTGCACATCTTTTAAAATCAGGATATTCCTTTTATATTTTTGCAAACCAGTTTGTAAGTGAAAAGTCCTTTAAATCTTTATTTATGCAGAAGCTCATTTTTTAAGTAGCAATGGCAGCCGGTTTTGGTGCCTGTAGCACATTTGCTTTCCTTCAGTGATTGTCTGCATTTTTAGTCAGCAAAAGTCTATAAATAGTAACCTTGGAGATTTTTAATTTAAATAATTATAAGCTCTGTAACAAACTTGTCCAGTTCGCATGGTGACCTCTTCACGGTCTGCTTGAGATGTCAATAAACAGCAGTACAGAAATTTAATCTATTGGTAATTTATTAGATTTTGTTTTTCACGGAAAAACAACAGGCTGTGCTTTCTATTGTCCTGTGTAACTAGACAACTGTATTTTCATATTCATCCTATGTTAGTAGTATAATTTTTACCAAACTGTATTGTATTTTAAAAGTAAAACCTAGAAACATAAGTAGAGAATACTAATATATCCTTGCTTTATTCATGCACTTTTAAAATTGAACTGTTAAAAAATAATGTAAATAAATGTCCTCTTCCCACTTGTTAGGATAATTTGAAAAATGAATTGCTCTTCTTCAAAATTCAGTCTAAATTAATGTCAGAAGCAATGCATTAAAACTAAGACTTCACGCATAGGCTGTTTGTACAGTGTCATCAGTGTGCGCCTAAACGGAGCGTTTAGTTTATCTGTTCACAGATATTCCGTGTTGATTCCATACTTCCTGTTTCTGTCAATTGTTAGGGTTTTCTTAGTCCTGTCTTCTGTCTCTTGTAATCTGTAGTTGCCTGCAATACCATGCTCTTCCAACTGTTCTGTGAATATGAAGCAAGCCAAAATTAGTTGTTCATGTTATAAATAAAACCGTATGCAAAAGAAGTCTGAAACATACTTTTGCAATAGACAATTATAAATGGCTATCCGTGACAGTTTTCATGCTCTGTGGACTTTGTGTGAAATTTTTCACATTAATTAATCTTTTTGTTTCTAGCTGCTGAAACTGCTTTTGTCATGCCTTCGACAAGGGTTAATACTGGACAGACGAATGATATGCACTCTTCTGTAAGTCTGCAGAAGTATAATCAAATCGATGTATTTATTGTTCTACAGTTGATTAGTTCTAAAGGCTCTTTTATTTTCCTTTAATTATATCTCTTTGAAAGAAAAGGTATATTTAGGGCTTGGAATGAATAATACAGGGGTGAACGTTTTCTGTTGTAGAACTCATTGCATTGTGTGGGTTTGATTTGAATCTAGGTAGCAGTTGTGTAGTTGGGAGGAGATACAAGTATGTGTTTCAGTTGTTGAGTCATTTTTATCAGCTGGCACAGTAGAATGGTCTCTCTGCTGCATGATGTGCAAATGTAAAAATGTTTTTCTGTCTGCATAACTGAATTTATTATGAAGTATGTATTAGATCAGATGTAGTGTTAGCTGCTGATCTGTAGGTTTGAAACATAACTGAACTGACATCTTGATGTTTTTCCCTAGAGGAGATGGGGACTGGCTATGCAAGCTGTAAATACTGCCTGAAAAAGTAAATGCCTACTATTTCACCTGCTTACAACTTAATGTACAAAACCAAGGTGCCACTGTTGCCACCAAAAGAGAGGAGCTAATGATGGGAAGAAGTAGTTGCTACTAAAGGGTTGGGGTGCTTTTGGCAATAGCAGCCGCCACTCCCGCCCCTCTTCTGTGCTAGCAGGAACAGTGTCCGTCTGTGCTAGGCAGCGCTGACCATCCAAGGACCTTCCTTGGTGCTTGGAGACGGGCAAGAAAGAAAGGCAGTTTGTCTTTCTGGGACGGTCAGGAACAGTTCCCGTGACCCCTCCGCCACTGCCCCACACTGCAGCAGAGGCCCTGTTCTCAGCTGCGAGTGAATTTAGCAGCTGCTTTTTTAAGAGAACGTGTTTGGGGCAGAGGTATCACAGAATCCCAGACAGAGCTACTGAGGTTGAACCACGCTGCAAAATTCCTTTTGACCTCTGAGATGAATTAACTCGCAACTGTATGCTGCTATAGACACCTAGTTTTAGACCTTCGAGTTTCTTCCCCTCCCTATTTAAACCAGACTGTCAGAGATGTCATACCAACTACAGCTGTTCTCTTTTTTTTTTGTAAATGATGGACTGTGTCTAAATGGATATCTAAGAACCAGCTGGTTTTGAACAGTATTTTAATAACAAATGTCTATTCTTTTAAAGTATAAGAAAGTAACTTTCTGGTGTGAAAGGGGTTCTCTTGCATATACTTGAGTCTTGAAATGTGACTTTTTTTTTATATTACCTTGAAGTATGGATGTTATACATAATGTGTTCCTCAAATACTAGAAAACTCCACTAAGACAGATGGCAACGGGGAAAACAAGGGAACGACAGTGGTATGATGTTGGAATTTTTAAAAGCAACACTGCTGTGGTGAGCCAGTTCTACTTGTTGCCAGAGGAAACACTGAGCATTTCTAACAAGGTAGCTGATAACTTTTCTCTGATATACTTGTACATCTCTGTTTTGTAACCTGTTGCCCGTATGCTTGACAATGAAATGTGAGATTTTGTGATTCTGTAGCAGAAACTGGTACTTACAGGAGTTCTGTATTTTGTGACCATGTAGTTTCTGATATATTTTGTTCACTTTTTTTTACTGTTTCCTAAACCAGATATATTTACTTCTGTCATTTTTCTGTGATTACATGGAGGGTCTTATAGTGCTATTACTAATTCTTTTCATAGTTTTATCTGTAGCCTTAGGAAAGAGTTTTAAGCTTAAGCTCTCAAACCAGTAAAAAAAAAACTTTAAAAATATAAAAACATTTTTAATATGTCATTTCAGTACAGCCCTGAAATGCATTAATCAAAGTTTCTTTTTAGGAATCTTTACTTACAAATGATTAAAGATACTAATAAGACATAAGCTGGAGTGTTTAAAAAGCCTAAACATAGACCTGCAGTGTTTTTTGTATTAGATTTCTCTCACTTAATGTTGTTGCACATATAAGTTTATATATGAAAATGCTATACACATGAAACTTGAAAAATTTCTGCAGTTTTGATGACAAAAACATATATTAATGATTTCCTAGTGAACTAGAATCACAGAACGGTTGAGGTTGGAAGGGACCTCTGGAGATCAGCTAGTCCAACCCCCCTGCTCCAGCAGGGTCCTCTAGAGCACGTTGCCCAGGATCACGTCCAGGCGGGTTTTGAATATCTCCAGGGAAGGAGACTCCACCACCTCTCTGGGCAACCTGTTCCAGTGCTCAGTCACCCTCACAGGGAAGAAGTCTTTTCTCAGGTTTAGATGGAACTGCCTGTGGTTCAGTTTGTGCCCCGTTGCCTTTTGCCCTGTCGCTGGGCACCAATGAAGAGTCTGGCCCCATTCTCTTTACACCCTCCCAAAGAAACAAAGCTGATGAGTATATCTCACTTAAACGGGCAGAAATACCTGCAGCCAGGAGGCTGCTTCAATTAGATAGGTGCTTGAGTTGATTTCAGAACCAGAATCCCACATGACAAATGTGTGTAAGCGACCACTGACGCTTGTATGTAACCTGGCGTCATCAAATAGTTAAGTATGCTTTCTTTTCACTAGAAGTGATCTCTGCCTTACGTCTAGAGCTTTGCCCTTTGGTAACAGCTGTCTTTGTCATATGCTTAGAGCTCTTACTTGCAGATATGGCATGTTAGAGAATAAAACTAGTGGGTGGATTTTAACTATCTTTGGTCTCTTGAGTAGATATTAACAGGCAACCTGAGCACTCCCGAAACCTCTCGGCCTTCTCTGTCGTCTTCAGTAAATACTGATTATGCTGTCCTAGGAACATACTGTGCCTATATTCTTTCTAGAATGTATTTGTAGGATAGTTTAAAGGTTTAAAAAAAAAAAATCAAGTTAACATATAAAGGTTAGGACAAGCTTTAAGTGTGCAGGTGTATGTGTGTGTGTGTTTTTTTTTTTAACCTTAACTTGTAAGAGCCTTGGTATTTTTAATAAAAGGGTGTTTGGGGAACAGGTTTCAGTCTTACCATTGGTTGGCCAAGAGAAATGGTTTGTAGCTAATATTAGAGCAGATGAAGGTAATCAACATCAAACCAGTAGGTTTTCTTGAGACAGCTGCAAAAGAATAGAACGCTTTCAGAAAGCACGTTATTGTAAATATTCCACATCTTAAAGAGCTTAGTATATTTTACAGTTATATATTGATTGTGTTTCTGTATACAGTATTCATGAGAAACATAGTTTCTTAGAAAGTTTCAGAGATGTAGGAATCCATATGTCAAACATGGAAATATATAAGCCACTAAAGCACATAATGTTTTGTAAACTTATTTTCTTACTAACCCACAGTGCTTTTTCTTTATTCTTAAAAAAATGGAACACCTTCTTATAAATTGCAACCCATAACTATAGAAATAACTGCTTTTGGAAGAAAAGCATTTTTTAGGACAAAGGAGTATAGTAATTACATTGTAAGATATACAGTTGAAGAAAAAAAACTTTACAAGTATTTTGCCTTTTTTTTTTCTTTTCCAAATCTGAGAGTAAAGCTAGCCAAGAGGGTAAAGTTCAGTTTCAGTGCCTGAAAAATGGCTTTGATTAGAGACTTAATCTCATAATGTTTCTTAGATGGGCTATTTTTAAGTAAGCCAGTGCTTCAGTCATAGCCTTTCTGTAAATTCTGAATTAAGTGCAAAAGTTTTTTAGTCAATTTAATTGAAGCTGAGAACTGATTTATCTCAGTTTATTTCACTATCTGTATATATTTCTTTAGATAAAGAGTATTTAGAATACTTTAAAATTTAATACAAATTTTGCTTTATTTTCAGATGGAAAATGCAGACGTTCCAGACTATAGATTACTTAAGAAACAGGATCTTTTTCCAGGCACCGTGTACAGGTTCAGAGTTGCTGCAATAAATGGCTGTGGTGTCGGCCCTTTCAGTAAAGTCAGTGAATTCAAGACTTGCATTCCTGGTTTTCCTGGAGCTCCTTCAACAGTCAAAATCACTAAGGTGAGAAATAGAGGTAGTTCTAGTCTTACTGTATAAAATTCTGCTTGCGAACTTAATCTAGGAACTCTTGGTTTGTGTTTTTTGTGGTTGGGTTTTTTTAAAATGAAAGTTATGTGTAATTGGTGATTTCTGCTCAATGAAATATTCTTGAAGAATCTTACTCTAAAGAATTTTTTGAGGTCTTAATGATTGTGTGGCCAGAGGCACACCTTTATCAATCATCTTACAATTTTCCCGCAGTTTTCTCCTATTGTATCCTTAATTTTATAGGTGTTCACGTGTTTTAAAAAAAAGTCCAAAAGATGCATCATTATCTCCAAAGAGTCATAATGTTTTGACCTTTTATTTTCTTTTCACATATAAAACAGGTAAAACTATATGGCAATTGGAAGAATGAATTGGCATGCTAAGATGCATTTTTATCTCAAAGCTGCTAATTTTGAAATATGTCTTTCAAACTGCTAGTCCGACAAGTTCCACCTGTGACCTTTAAAATCAAGACAGTTTTACTGGGGGGCTTCCAGTTTTGTTTCTGTTTGTTTTTCTGGCTTTTGTAACTTGTTTTAATAATAGGTGAATGTTCTTGTTTGGGGTTTCACTTTCATGACGTACTGCATTTTACACTAGTGAGACTTACTGCCTCCAAGATATGCTGTATTTGTGGAAGTATATATCTATCTTTTTTTTTTTTTTTTAACTATCTTGAATGGCTGAGAAAATGGGCGTTCTAATTTTCGGAAATGTCCTTTGGCATCTTTGTAGGCTCTGTTTGTACCAGAAGGAAGCCTAAAGGCGTGCTTGCTTCTGGAATAAGAAGCGTAGACAGAATAAGTTAGAATTTTCACATGCTCTTCAGAGTGTGCATGTGGTTAGCTGTTTGGTTTATATATGTGTGTGTGTGTGTGTATACATATAGTTTAATGGTTACCTGCACAGTGTCATGGTTTCTTTCTTTTTCTTCAGAGTGTGGACTGTATTCATCTTTCTTGGGAGCCTCCTGCTTCACCTTCTGGAAATATTTTAGAATATTCTGCTTACTTAGCAATCCGTTCAACACAATTACAGGAAAATCCAAATCAGCTAGTATTTATGAGAATATACTGTGGTCTTAAAACGTCTTGTATAGTGACTGCTGCCCAGCTTTCAAACGCTCATGTTGATTACACTTCCCGGCCTGCTATAGTGTTCAGGATTTCTGCAAAGAATGAGAGAGGATATGGACCGGCCACACAAGTTCGATGGCTTCAAGGTAAAGTTGGTGACAGATGCAGCATTTAAATGGCATGTGGCTATGGTGGAGAAGGTGGCTTATCGTGCCTCTTGAACCAGCACTTTCCTCAGCAGTGCATGTGAAGTTCTGAAATGTCATTTTGTTCTTTATAGAAGTTTTAGGAACTTAGAAAAATTAGATAGGTTTAGAATAGAATAATTTAGAACAACATTTAGATATTTAATTAAATTTAGAATAACATTTAAGAAATTTTAATATTTGTTCACAAGCAAAGACAAGCAAGAGTACTGAATACTATTCATTAGGTCTTACCCAGTCCCTCAAATAACAGAAGTCTAGCAGGCTTCTGATTTCCCTGGGCTTCACTTCAGCTTAAAAGTTTTCATTCTAAGAATAAGTTAATCTAGTTACATGCACAGATGTAATTGTTTTGTTTTGTGGTTTTTGGGTTTTTTTTTCCTCCAAATCTTTTTCTTCTCCGCATCAGAATAGTTTCTCATAAGGTACATTTTTGTGACAAACATAGGCTCTTTCGAGTCTATATTATGGCCAGGAGAGGTTTTGTCATCTCATCCCCACACTTGAACTTGTACAGGTTCATAATGAATTGGGTATGGGAATGGGCTGGCTGCAAATGAAGGTTAGGGTTCAGCCTGCTCAGTTCCTTGATATGGTCTGGTGTGCCACTGCATAAATGCTAGTGCCAGTGCACAGGGGAAGAGAAGCATGAGTGACTGCTGAGATGGGGATTGTGACTTTTAACAGCAGTGTATAATCCCACAGCATATGCTGGGTTAAAGTGGTCCTCTGCTCCCAGTTTCCACTTTACCTACTTGGCAGTTTCTTGTACCATCAATTGAATAATTATTTTCAATTTTGGACACTGAAACTGGCATTTTCTTGGCTTGGCACTTAAGGATGTGATCCAACAAGATGGCTAAATCAATCTAACAGCTTGCTGCTGCCAAGAGATGTTTTCACTCTTTTTTTTTCCCCCCCTTCTTTATGCTATGCAGTCATGTTCTCTTCCTTTATTGGCTCTGGCTGACCTTTTGAGTAAGCAAGATCAGAGGCCTAAAGCAAGTAAATTTGCTGGCTTCTCCCCTCATCCCACCCTTTCCCCCTTCGGGGTTAGTATTGAGAGCTGGCTGTGCTCAGCAAGAGGTCCCGAAGGATGGAGAAAGGTTAGGAGGGGTGGAGCGTGCCCATCCCAGTGGGGAGCAATGAACTGCAGTTATCTGTTTTAGCTGCCCCATCTGTGTCTTTAACGTGTCTCTGAGAAGGAGAGCAACAATGAAGGAGTTGTCTTCTGTAACGTTGACTATCCTAACCCCGTTTTAACCCTTTAAGTGGCAAGGGTTTTGACGATGATCCATATCCCAGAACTCTAAAATAGTATTTGCTGTTAGAAAATGTTTGACTGTGTACATGAGGTGAAATATGAAATGTTTTACAGTCTTTCCTTTTTTTTGCAGATATGAAAACATCAAGCTCAAAGTAGAAAGAACATACTAAGTTTCAAGTTTTGAATGTAGTGTTTGATGTAACTCTTGTACTATTTGTAAATGCTACAAATATTTTATTTTTGCATTGTTTTTATCTTAAAAATATATAACCTTTTTTACGTTTGAAACATCAGCGTTATACAGCCTTGCTCAGGTATAACTACCATATAGAATTAATTGTATTGAAGATGGTGGGATGGAAGACCATACCCTATCCAGTAACTATCACTATCAGAAAAGGCTAAAATTTGCTACTTTCAAATTTGGGGGGGGGAGGCTTATGCAGCAGTATTTGATGTAGAGTCCCTATGATTGTTCCAGATCTTGCACGGATAATCTATAAAGATTGGGTATATGAGCAAGTTCTGGTTGGTTGCAGTTTCTTACACCACGTTCTTCACTGTGGTGTCTGAGTACAAGGCAAAAATTTCCAGTTATTATATAGTAACTTAAAATGTATAAATATTTTAATATATACTTTTTTGTAAAGAAATGATTTTTCTACTATTTGTAACAAATATCTTGAAAGATATCTCCTGAAGATTTAAAAAGAAAAAGATAAACTTAGTCATTTCTCTTATTACAAAAAATTTAAGTTCATTGTAAATGCACTACTAATAATAGGATTATCCTTTTGTAGTTGTACAAATCTAAAACTTGTAAATACCAATGTTTACAAGAGACCTTTCTGGTCTTGTATTAAAACTTCCATGAGATTCATTATCTCTCTTTTTTTTTTTTCTTTTTTAATCCATATGCTTTGCTTTTAGCATATGCTTGCTTTTTGCACTAATAATAACTTACCTCATTCCTGTGTTTGTAATCACTTGTGTTGCTTCCATAATGTTTCTGTAAAACTTCAATCTGAAAATTTTAACCAAAGTTTAAAATACTTGGTAAGCAATTTTGCACATATTGTATGGCAACTTTTAACATATTTATTCCAGTTAATCTTCTTAAGTGCTTGTTTGCTTTACCAGTATATTCTACCAATCAAGTTCAGTATCTCCCTTTTACTATGCATCGTTTTACATTAACTAGCTAGCCGATGAATTCAGAAAGCATTACTTCTAGGAATAGGTTGATCCATTCCTGTGCTAAAAGAAAAACTTGTTCACAGTAGTGAAATCAAGGTAAACATTTTAATTCTATTTATGTATCTATCTATAATTATATGTTTACCAAAGTGTAGAGGAAAATGGCTGAGTTGGACAAGGTCACTAGGTGAATAGATAGAGGCACCTAAATAAGTTTTATTTTAAAATAAAATCTAAATTACTTTCCCGTGCAATGAAGTTTATACTTTGCACTTTAATTTTGCCCTGAATGCCAAAAGACTATAAATCAAGGTAGAATTGCTTGCCTCTGCCAGTTAAATTTGTCTTAAGAACATTTGTAAATAAACTGAAAGAACTGATGTGCCTGTTTTAGTGGGAGAAGTAGCACTAAAATATTAGAGGAGATTTGACAGCTCAAGTGTCCCAGAGCAGATTTTATAGCCAAGTGTTTTAGTTACCCTGAAAGCCAGGGTTATAATGGAATTGCTGATACAGCCTTAATTATTGTTGCAACACATCATGCTCTGTAATAGCATGTAGAAAGTGCTGGGGACCATAGATTGCTGTAATAGTGTTAACTGCAGCACAGGAGTAATACACGTGGTTTTACTCCTGGGAAAAATCTTATGTTTATGACAATGACAGATACCACAGATTCACTTTAAACAGTGTTTATAGTATGAATGTATAGAACTTTTCCTGAAATTAACTGACTTTGAAATATTTGTGTTTTAATGGTCCATCTCATCAGGTATGATCTTGCTACCAATAATGTCTGGTAACTAAAATACCGTACACATGAGCTGTAACTAGAAAAATATAACTTGGTTTTTCTTATTAGTACTGTGAAAGAAGCCTTTAGAGAAGACACTTGTGGCTTTGATTTTATTGGTTGATAGCCGTGATTGTAGAGCTGTTATTTAAGAATAAAATCTGGTGGGTATGTCTGGGTGGAGTTTTTTTGCACTTAGTTTCACATGCTTTGCACAATTTCTTTTTCAATGGGTATGTCACAACTACCAAAGGGTAAAACTGTGGCGTTTTCAATGAAAGTATAACTTCCTTGTAAGCGTTCCCTTCTCCAGCTGACTTTACATACGGTGTCACTTTCTCTTCTCTTTGTCCAAGTTGGGTGATGTTGAATAGTGAACATATGCAAATCTTCTTCAGTTCCTCACAGTTCTACTTTAAAATGAAATTGTGGTACACACTGTAAAATATACATTGTGGTCTGTTTTTAGAGCTGTATTTATAACATGTCTGAATCCCACCTAACTCCATTTGCCTATCAACTAGATCTCAGACAAATATGGATTGTTTGATTTTTAATTTTTTTTGGAAGACTGTTGACATCAGCTCTCTGAGAATCTGTGTTATCCATTTGTTTCATATGTCGTTAAAAGACATAACAGAAACTGAAGTCTATTCTATTACAATATCCGTATTGTAGAAACGTCTAGGTTTACTAAAGTTGTTATGGAAGTTGTGACTGTGTAAGTATAGAGCAGTCATGCTAGTTGAGGCAGACATTGCTACAACTTCACCTTAAGAATGTTCTTGTGAAAGTGGAAATGAAGTGAACAATAACCTACGCTTTGTGTTTTCCAAGTAATTATAGCAATATCTTTTGAATGTAGTTTGGAGTAGAGCACATGACGATCATGCCATAAACTCTGAAAATATAGTAAGTATTACTGTTGTTATCTGATATTTCAGGATAGCGAATTTGACGTGAACTTAGTCTTACAGCCTGTTACTTTAATGACCTCTACAAGAGAACTGACATTTTGTACAATTAAAGTTGATTGGTCTTATTTCAGAGCATTGTTTGTTCTTTGTAATAAAGTGGTTGTCCTATCAAATGCATTGTAAGCGCTGCAGTGTATGTCTACTTTTTCAAAGGTACTTGCGCACAAACTTGAAATTCTGTGCTCCTTTAGAAAGGAGGACAATAAGGAATAGAGACTGAATATATTTGTCCTGGGAAATGGGTACTTTAGTGTTAAGCACTGTTAATACTATTACTCTTCCATAAGAAGTTTCTCAGTTTGTCTTTTTGGTTACCCTCTGTATCTCAAGTGTTGTGGTGTTGTGTGGTTGGTTTGGTTTGGTTTTGTTCCTGTTCACCCCCTCCCTTCTTCTCCCCTCCCCTCCCCTCCCCTCTCTGCTGTAATCTCTGTGCTCCTCACGTTTTCTCCACCCGCTTTGGTGCCGTTGTGTCATGCAGCTTGCTGACTGCTGCCTCTGAAATGAACTTTTGAGATTAGTCACCCTGTCTATACAGCAGCTACATTGCTGCTGCTCAAAATGAGTGGCAGGGTTTGGTATTACTTTGTTACAGTTTGTTGAAAGGCTGGGATATGAGTGAGCTCTTACTGTGCTCAGAAGGCTTGCAAGGAGGATGTGAATCATGTGTGTCCGGCTCTGCTCAAAATGCCACGGTCTTGGGGCGAGTCGCAAAGTTTTAATTGCGGTTGGCTGTGGGGGACTCCTGGGGAAATAAGTGCTGTATGTTTCCAGAAGCATGGGAGGAGAGAGGAGGAAGTGAACTGACGGGTCTGCAGAGTCATTTCTAGACCTTTTGAGAGGCTCCACGTAAGAAAGCGCCAAAAGCTGTCTCCTCTCGATTCCTTTCTCCTATTCCTAGCTATTACAATAGTGTAACTGTTGTCTTGTTTTCGCACTTCTACGATCCTTGCTTTAGTTGAAAATGGAAAAAGTCAACAACCGGTGAAGAATTCCCTCATTGCATTATCTTCTTTCTGCTAATGTTCTCCAAATGAGTTGCTTTTTAAGGCAAACTTGAACGTGTTATATGAGTTAAAACTAACTTAAGTTATGTTAAGGTTGTCTTTATAGTGTTAATTGGTAGCTGGTGCGTTCTTACGGCATTTCTGGAGAGCTGAAGGGCAGAGCTGGGCTGTGGCTTCCAGCTCTAACCGAAGCATTTTGAGGTTCCCAAGGCAGGGGTGGAGCGCTAACTGCTGGCACTGTGCTTGCAGTTAATGTATTCCTCCTTCTGTTAGTAGCTGCGAAAAAATCGGAGCTTCAGATCCACAGAAAACGCACTCAAGCTAAGTGGAGAATCCTTTTATAAGAATTCCCAGAAGTCAGCTGCGTGCAGCAGGACCGTGGAGAGCCTCCTGCCCTGGAGATGAGGCCGGGTGGTGCTCTGGGAGAGCCCCGGCGCTCGTGGGCTGCGTGGGTGCCCCTGTGCCTGTGTGCGTAGTGCTGGGGGCACAGTCCCGGCACCTCTTCTCCCTTGCCTCCCCCCCACCCCCACGTCCCCTAGGCCAGCGAAAAAGTCGTAATTTGGCTGTGCCGTCACTACTGACAGTAGTGGGAATTGCTGTGTGGAGGAAAAAGGGAAGGGATAATGGGAGACATGTCTTTTGTGCCCGGAAAGCGCAGGAGACTGAGGGAATTTGTCTTTAGTTTGTCTTTTCCTTATGCATCTTCCTCTCTTGTGCCCATGCATTTGAACTCCTCCTTGCACTGTTTTTGGTGCTCGCTGGGCCCTTGCAGGGGCTGCATCGAGGGAGCGGGAGAGAGGCTCTGAGGGTAACCGAGGGCACCCGAGCTACTTTCAAGCTCCCAAGTCACCTTCCGGGGAAGGTGATTTCTGACTTCAGTCGAAGAAGGGAGACAAATCTCCCTCTTGTGGCCTGGTTAGAAAGAAGGGCTGGGGCAGCTGGACATCTTGCAGGGAAGGTGCCCCCACAGCCTGTGCTTGCTCCCACCCATGAGCTCCTGTTAGGTCACTGCAAATCTGGTGCCAGCAGAAGCATTAAGTGGCTCCTTCTCCCTCAGTTTCCAAAATCTTTCAAGAGCCTGCAGTACCTCACATGACTTGTTGCGCTTAAAGCCCCGTTAATAATGAAGAACATAACAAGATCAACCAGATGGGGGCTGGTTTTGTTTTGCTGCTGTTGTTTAATTGTTGTCTCTCCCAAGCATCTGCTATTAACGCTTGCTATATTTGTGAAGTTGGTATAGCAGCTCCTCAGAAAGAAAATTAAGGCTCAAATGTGTTATCTCCAAAGAGAGGAAGAGAAGAAGCATTTTGGTGCTTCCCAAATGGTAAGTAGTGTTGTGAGAGTTATTCCTGTATCTGATAAAATTATAAAATGCTGTGATCCACACGTGAAAGTTACCAACATACAATTATTTCCAAGTGATTCTTAAAACAGGCACACTGAGTGCATGCTGTGTTAGGAGGTTCCAGACCACCAGTTCCTTCATTTTGTTTGCATCTTGTAATTCCTTCCTTCTTTCATTTAATTGTTGTTGGTTGGTTGGTTGGTTGGTTTTAAATTTTGGCCAGTGATTTTAACTGCCTTTTAGAATAACCACTTCTCTTTCAGTAATGCGGATGGGGGGTATAGAGGAGAGCAACATGGAGTAATTTCATTAAAAAGAAGCTGACTTTACAGTAAAATAGATCTATGTCAGAACGCGTGAAAGCCTATTCTAATTGTAGCCATGTACCAAGTCTACCATGGCAGCGACAATGTGTTGCAGTTCTATTCTGATGTGGAACCTGGTTTAAAAATAAAAAAAGAAGTTCTCTCCTGGACCCTAATGTTACTTCATATGGTCCTGCAGATTTTACGTTCCCGTATGTAAATCGTAGCGAGTTCGTCTGCTTTAGAACTTTGTGAAAGTGGGGAAGGTAATAGCACAGGTGTCACTTATCAGTGACTCGAGATTTGTCTTCATCTTGCAGATTTCTGGCAAGAAATGCCTAATTGCATAGGGAGGAAATAGAGTCGGAAGGTTCGAGGCCAGGTAAACTTTGAATTGTGGCCCAAAATCAAAGAAAATAGCCAAGATAATCAAACGGACAACTGTCAGAGGTAAAGGATTCTTCACCGAAATGCTGTTCGGGCCCCCAGCCAGTAACTTGATCTCAGTCCTTAGCAGAGGACTCCCTTAGTAGTCAAGGGTGCTGCGATCCCTGTATGAGCAGAACTAATAATACCTGTTGCTTGAGTTAATGCCCCTTCTTCCAACTGAAGTGATTCTATGGGAAGGTTTGAAGCTTAGGTGAAAGTAAATGGGCTGCATCTGAAAGGTCTCCTTCAGCCATTGTAGGCTTTTGGGACCGTTGTGTCTTGTGCTTCTGGTAGCATTGCTGAACGACTGTATTGAATGCTGTTTTGAATGATAAAGGTTACCCACTTGAAATGACACCACCTGCAGGTGATGGTGGAGCAGAGGGCAGGAACAATGCCAGGTTGGACACCAGCTTAACCACCAGTGTGGGGAGGCAACCGCAGGTCTCTGGAAACCAAGAGCAGTGATGATCCAGAAAAAACAGTCCAAGGATGAATCTTAATCCCTACAGAAAAACTAGTTCTTTTTCAAAAGTTACCTTTAGAGTCTTCTCTCCGTCCTCCTGGTCGCTTGTCTTTTTTGTCCTTAGGTGGAGCCTGCTCCCACCTGAGCCCTGGGAAAGTAGTGTTGCCATCTTTGCTGGATTTTTCGTTTAGGGTAGCAGTGGTGATGGTGATCTCAAGAAAGACAGAGGTGTATAGCTTTAACCTGTGTATTTAAGTATACAACCTCTAAGTGGTTTCTGGTCTTCATTTTCTCCTCTCCTGCTCCAACCCTCTTGATCTTGCACAGAAGAACAATCAGAGCTGAGGAGTCATTACTCTGCGCTATGCAGTGATTTCTTTTAAGGACAGACCTAGTCAGGTAAATCTGTCTGTTCCTGAAATGACTTATATGGAGAAAATAAGAGGCTAATGCATACTGGAAAAGAGATTTTTCTAGTGATTTATGGGGCATAGCTCCTCTGAAACTTGAGCTTGAAATTTGAGCCTAAAAATCTCTGCTTTTCAGTAAATTCAGTTTCAGCTTAAATAAAGGCCTCACTATGGTTATTAAGTCTTTTGATGATTCATTCTGGCGTTTCTGTCAGCTTTGTTGCTAGAACATTAGGAAACTTAGATTTTCATACATAGCAGAAACGCTTCTGGAAACTGAGTGCATAGATGATATCCAAGCTGGCCTTCAGTCTTTAGCTTATTGTCTCTAACCTCCTTAATGATCTGAAAAATAGCTATAATTCTAGTGCTTACAGGTGAGAACAATAAGGTCAAATATGCTGTCATCAGAATAAACTCAGGACAAATTACTTTAAATATTGCCTTGTTAAGAAAAGTAGAAAGTAGCTGTCTGGTCTTGAAGGAAAACGTTCCTGAATCTGGGAGTAACTCTCTGAAATGACTGTCCTGAAGCTTGACTAGAATGAGACTTGAAGTTTGAGTCTAACAGCTTGACTTTTCACCTACTTACATTTCAGTATAAATGTAGGCTATTTGCATTATTATTATGATTATTCTAAAGTTAGTCACTGACTTGTATTGCTATTCGAACTTTAGGAAGATGAAGTTGTAGGAAGGTGCAGCTGAGCTATTTGAAGCAACGTGGGATCTTTCAAACTAGACAACACAAAATTGCCAGGTGTTTTCAAGATTACTTTTTCTGATAGGTGCAGACTTTAATCTCACTACATCCACTTAAGAGACTTTTTGGACCAGCTCAAAGAAACACAGGATGTTGGATTCCTAAATCCAAATTTGCTCTCCAGATTTGGACACCCCAACTCTGCGGCTGTGCAAACCGTGGCTGTGGTAGTGCTGAGACTCAGCAGCCTCTGTGGTCCCATCCTGAAGTGATGGAGCCCGTTACCCCTGCCTTCCAGCTGGCCCAGAGTTGAGATTTCAGCTCCCTTCTCCCCAGCCCTGTGCTCAGCCTTTTCCCACCAGCCAGCCCCTTGCTCACCAGGCAGGCTGCCTCGGGGTTGTCTTTCCCAGTTATATAGGGAAGGTGGGCCTCTCTCCGGGTTTGGGTTTCAGGGCAAGGGTTGAGGCTGATACCGCAGGAACAAACCTGTGAGTCCTCTATTAGCTCCATGCTGCTCTGGCCCATCATGCATAGTAAGCTTTTAAGCAGTCAACTTATTTCTCTACGTGCAGGGTGCAAAGAGGAATAGAAGTAGTATATACTCCTCCTAGTTTGCTGTCCTGTAAAGTGGTACTCATGTTTCAGCTGTGTTTTCAATAATATGGCATTTATATAGAAACTGTGGGTCCGAGGTGTGCATTCTGAGCTTGGTTTTATTTGATATCCTCTGTTGCTGTGCCCTTTTATGTGGGAGATGGTGTTATCATAGTAGGATTATCATTTCAGCCAGGCTCCCTGACCTTACTTACTAAATTGGTTCACTGATTTAAGAAAAAAAGCTTCTTCTGTAACTTTGCCTCTCTCATTTCTTCATTGCACTAAAGATACACAAGAGGCAAATACAGGTAAGAAATTATTTTTCCACTGTAGCTACTGCTAGGCAAACCACTAACATAAGTTGTATCAGTGCCTGTATCGTCTGAAACACACCACCTTAACGTAGCGGAGGAAGTGGTGTCCTTGCTGCCGAGGAGAAGGACAAGAGAGGATCCCTTTCCCTCCAGTGAAGGTTAGTAACATATGTGAGAAGGAAAAATGAAAGACAAACCCACCACACTTGTCCAGGTGTGTGTGTATTCCAGCTACCTTAAATGAAATGTGTGGTCGTGATAGATCCCTGATGCAGAAACTGGGCTATTAATTGGAGAAAAATGATGTTCTTGCATTTCTCAGCTTAGGCTCTTCAAGGAGGCTAAGGCTAAGGTGACAAAGGGTCCCTGCCATTTGGCCCTGGTCCACACCTTCCTCTCAGTTTGGGGAGGGCTGTGTATAGAGGCAAGGGCGGGGGGAACCACTTTGGGCTGGCACCAACCCCTTTTGTGTTTTTTCTTGTATGCACACAAAGAATGACACTGACACTAGGTCTTAGCAGCAAGAAAATGCTTTAGCCCCCACCACTGCCCCCAGTAGCTGAGGCAGGCGCAGGCCCCAGGCAGTGAATTCTAGAGAAAAGTTGTCTCTGCCACTGAAGGGGCCCACAACCCTGGGGCTGATTCTGACCAGGAATAAATTGCTGATTAAAATTTTGGATTTGCCATGCAGAATCATCAAGATGCCTTCTGGTGGTGAGGACTGAGCCATCTATTACTGTGGTGTCAGCCAGAAACCCAACCCTTTCCAGCAGAAAGTCTGCCCTAAGCCAGCTGCTTTCTCTGGCTCTGTAGGGGCTGGGCTAGCTGACGTGCTGGGCACCTACATGTTAAAATAGGAGCCTGAAGGATGCTCCTTTCCAGAACAGACTTAAACCCTCAATACTGTTGTTTCATACAAAGGCAAACCAGGGAGCATTGCTCCTGATAAATGACTCCTGTTGACCAGGGTGCTGCAACAAGCTATTCCCAGAAATGACCCTGGCAGGTTGCCTGGAAAACTTCCTAAAATCATGGAGCCAAGGCCATCTGAGCTGCTGTGCACTGTTGGGCCTCTCCCTGCTGTTGCAGCCCTGCCTGGAGACTGCAATTTACTGAACTCAGTGCAGCTGCTACCTATTTGGAAACACCCAGGTGCATCCAGCCTTGGATGCCAGTGCAAGCTGAACTTGCACTGAGTTTCTACAGTACTTTCCATAATGAGGGTCAGGGGTGATATGCAGTTCATCATACTAACTTCACAGATCAGTAGGTTTAAAAAAAAAAAAAACACACACACACTGTTCAGCTTTTCTAAGGGTGAAAATGTGAATGGTTCTACTACAACATCCCTTGTTGTCAAAGAAGAGAAACTGGGCCATGTTTTCAACCCGGTACATGTCCTAAAACTGTACAACAGCCAGGAGCCATCCTGTCACCACCATTCCTGAAAAAAACTCTTTTCACCAAACCAGTTTGTAAGGGGAAGAGAGGAATAACCTTTCTCTACGTTATCAGTATTTAACTTCTTCACACAGAGTGCTTGGGCCCTATAATAAATAGCATTACTCATCCTAGAATCTACTATGAGGTTTTTGTTTATGAGCATAAGAAAATAAACTTGAAATATAAGTGAAGAACTGCTTTTCCTGTATTTTATTCAATACAAATTAAAGTTGGAGGGAGTCTTGCTGGTGCAATCTGGGAACACAGGGAGTTACAAACATGTTGTCTTACCACCACAAATATAACTAAAGCAGCAAATGTCTGCATGCCTTAACAGGAACATTAATCACATTCAGAGGTCTATAAAATGAAACTGGTTATAGCTATAAGCAGGGCTGCTGCCAACTCTTATCACAACAGCCAGCTATTGGAGAAAATACTAGCCCTTGGCACTTTGCTGTTATGTGTTGCTTTGTATTGAGGAATTGCCTGTGTCTGGGCAGCAGCCCATATGCTTCCCCCTCTGCTGAAGATGAGAGAACTGAATTTCCATGTTTCTGCATCTGTAGATGCTTGTATTTTATTAGTAAGCATCATCTTGAAACCCTGCAGTAGGGACTGTCACAACACTGACATGACTCAGACTGTAGTCACAGCACATTTCAAGGTGGCTATTTAAAGTATAGCCTCCATGATTCATGCTGATTTGCAACTACAGGCAGAGAAGCATGGACCAACTGAAATTTAGGATACACCGACTCATGCCACAGGTCCCTCTCTGCCCTGGATACTCCATACAGGGCATACAGCCACATTTTAGTGTTCAGCAGAGAGCAAAACAGCAGAACAAATACAAAAGTGAGGTGTGTTTAATATATGTACAATCAGACTGGTAAAGGCAGAGCCCCCAGCTCCCATTAAGACTGTAATGAAAATGCAAAGTGGAAGAAGGCTGTTTGGATTAGCTCTTGTCACGGCTACATTTTGACCAGAGACAGTTTTCTGCGCTTTCAAAAACACCATGACCACTGCACCGAGAAAGATCAGAAAGATCAACTCAAACACATTCATTAATTTAAGGGATTGAAAGGGTTGTGGGTCATGGAGATGCACCTAGAAGTTACTGCGGCTGGAACTGATGATCTTTCTTTGAACACAACTGCTAATTCAAGCATGCCCCTACTACCTTGAGCTGAAGCTCAATTCAGAGTTACAGCAGTTCAAACAAAACATTAAACATTCAGAGACCCAAAGATGGCAGTTTTTTTGGAAGCAGTCTTGGTTTTGACCTAGATTACTCATAAAAAGTCTGAATATTAAAAATAGTCAGAATACATATCAGTTTTTAAACAAAAATGAAACCCACACTGGTTGTGCTAACTACCACGACCTACTATTTCCTTAGTCATTGCCATAAAGAGGACCACATTTGTTTTTAATCAGCACAACATCACCCTGCACTAGAGGAACAGTTTCGTGATGAGACCAAACAAAAAGTGGTGGCCTCTTAGAGGTGCAGGTGTATTCTCAGGAAGCAAACAAGCAAGGTTGATGCAGTTTTGGCCCTGGCCCTCAAGGAAAAAGAGCCAAAACAAAACCAGCATCAGCTTCTTCATGCATATGTAAATCACAAACTCAAGAAAACTGCTTAACTGAAGCCCACACAGGAGGCAGCAGACTGAAAAACTGAGTTGGCATCAGGCAAATGCAGCAGACCACCTCACCCCCGTTCTGCACATACAACCACCAAAGCTCTAGCTTCTCCTTAGCTGTGATCGCAGCTTTTCCATTGCAAATTTGGGTACATCAAGAACAAGGTATGAGTGTCTCAAATAAACGGAAAACAAACAGAAGGGGCACTTGCAGTGGTTGTGTTACTCATTTGGATATTTAATGAAAAATTCCATTTTTTAGTCATAGCTGCTGAAGAATGACAGACTGCCACAAAACTCGAGAACAACTGTCCAGATCGCCCCGGAAAACACTCGGTCACCTCCAGAGGCTCACCTAGCATAACACTGATTTGCAAGAAACAGGGGTTTAGTCTGCACATACATAAAATTTTTGTGTAGCAAAGAATTTCTTTCAGGCTTTGTGAAGGTCCTAGTTTAAGGTATTTTCCCCAATATTAAGGTTTAAACTGTTACTTGTTAAAAAGAGACAAACAAAAACCAGCAAGAAATTATGTGGCAACAGATCCAAGGTGTGTTTTTTGTTTGTTTAAATTAATGACAGGTACGTGGAAAGATATTTGTTCACTACAATTGAATTGTTATATTCAGCCCACCGCAAACAGTAAAAATATCAAAGGTCCCAAATTCAGTCCAAATAAGATATGTCTAAAAACATCACCCCTATCCTAATAGGCTAAGACACCATATCTAGCAAAATTACCACCCAATTATTAAAGAAACAGCAGTATCACTAAGAATAGCTCACTAATTATACAGAACTACGTTATCTTGGAATAGTTTATTGCAAAACCAGGAAAGAGACAGCAAACTAGAGGTCTGCGAGTCTTTCATTTCAGATTTGTATCACTTGTTCAAGTCTCAGTCACTCGCGCACACACACATACACACTGAAACAGCCTGTACAGAGAAAGTTGCTAACACATTTTAGTTCCCATAGTCTCACAAGAAACCTTAAAACATTTCAGTAAAAAGTTAAAATGAGGTCTTTTACCACAAGAACTATAAAATCCCCCCACCCCTCACTACAGTTGAATTCTAAGATTTGGATTCTAAAAAACATACATAAAAAGGAAGAGTCATTTCAGTAGCACAAAGACTACCTTAAATATAACAAAATAAGTCTAAGGAGAGTTAATGCAACTGAAAAAAAAAAAAATGAAATGAAGACCTGCATCATACACAAACAGTGTTTTAATTAACACTGTTGATGAGCTCTAAACTCCTAGATGTAACAGAGCAATTGTTTGTTTCTAGATTAATTTTTAATTCTGAAGTTACATTAAAAAAAAAAAAACAGTGGTAGCAATTCTTTTGAGCTGCTAGTTTCATGAGAAGTCCCTTTCAAAATTTCAATAAATATGTTGACATCTAAAGTTAGTTGAGGTTGTCATGCAAGACAAGTTACATAACCAAGACCAACTCAATCTTTATAATAAAGGCAACTTGCATTCAAAAATGAACTTTACCCTTACAATTTTATTCAAAGGGTAAACATGAATTAACCCAGCTGTTTACCTGAATTACAAAAGTAACATGATTCAATATGAAAATAAGAAACTGTCTACAAATCTCTGACAGTAATAAATTGCAATATACAATGCATACAGGAGTTATACAGAGCAACAAACTCTTGTACAAAACAAAAATACTTTAATACCTTTAAAATCCAATTTTTTTAAAATCAGTCATGAAAAAGATTTGAGTCAGAATTCACACCTCAATTAGTCAAGCTTCAGGTAGCTACATTACAGCTATTTAATATACAAAGAGATAAATCTCTTCACCAGTCATTAAAACTGTCTCTTCGTTAGAGTTGCACAGCTTTTCTGTCTCATGTTCCCAGATCCAAAGTTTCCTTCAAATCATGAGAACTGAATTTGTTGAACACCAGAGATCTAGAGAAAGAAAATGCAAGCTTACATTCAAATTAACCTTTTCTGAAGTTGCATCACAGAGTAGCAGCCTTGAATTGTCACGGTATTTCAACGGCACAACAGCCAAAGAACTAAGTGTAATTAATACTCCTATCTTTCAAAAAAGGGCTGCTGAAATACGGTTTGAATTTTAGTAGCAGAAGGGAGAGCGGATGATGGGATACAGTACCTGTTGATAAGAAGTTGTATAAACCATAACGTTTTGCTGTTGGCCATCTGTAGTTATTAAGCCTGCTGGCAACTGGTTAGCTAAAAGAAAGAGCATTTTAAGAAAGTTAGGTAGGAACTGCAGGATACAGGGAGCCTTGTTTGAAGCGTTCATCACCATTCAATAACCTTTAGTTGTGGTCCACCCAGGGACTATGGAACAGTTCCTCTCATGACAGCTACAGACTACACTGCTACAGTCACACTTGTTACTACACTTGTTACTAAAGAAGTTTATTCCCACTAGCACTTAAGAACAATTCAGCTTTATTTTTCACCAAATAATCTAAAAGTAAGATTGCAACTTGTTCTTCACTGTAGACATCGGAGGCGGAACACACACAGCATTGCACTGGGGGCTGGAGCGCTTTTTCAGTGTCCTAGCGCTTCAAAAAAATTCCCGTAGTCAGGATGGCCATTGCCAACATTCAATATTCCGAGAAACCTGGAGAATTCTGAGTTCATTTTGTTTAGGCATAAGGTTAACACTTAAGTAAACACGCGTGTGAGGAACTCGGTGCAGAAGTTACGCTTCTCTATGAACCAGGATCGGTCAGGGACTCCCTGATGGGGAAGCGGCATGAAAGGTGGGGGAGATGAACACAGGCAGGCAATGACAAAGAAAACAGGAAAAAAAACACCGCCAGAGGCAAAGGTACTGATAGGAAGCTGAAGACCTGACATTAGTCTGGATGACTTCAGCATGCCTCAGGGCACTGGGCGAGAGCTCTGAATTTCATATAGGAAAGGTGAGGCCAATAAACGTAGTAAAACCTGACATCTCAGAGACAAAACATAAGGAGTGAGGTTTTAAGATAAACCCTTACAGTCACACCTGCGTTGAACTCTAGCATTTAGAGTTAGCATGTTACAACTGTTGCTTGGGAGCAAAACAGCAAAACTCTTAAGTTGTAAATTAAGCTGTTGTAGCAAAACATTCTCCACCTGGAGACAAACAACAGGAATTTTTTATTTTTTTTTTTAAAGTATGGCTGAAACTAGGTATGAATAAGAGGCAAAACCCAGAAAAATCTCAAAACACAATAAAATCCTACCAGCTTCAATCTGACAGCTGATGTTTGCTTTTTCCTACCTTCTTTGTACTAACTTCCAGCAAATATAAGCTGCATGTCAAGAGATACATTAAGACCATGGTCAGAAATGGCTCTGGCAGTTCTAAAATGTTACTGCTCTTCAATGGGAACGTCCCACATCCGGTGCAGTTCAAAACCAGGCCTCTGACCTATGTGCAGAAGGATGAAGAGCCAAGGGCTAGGCTACCACAGCACAGCGGTTACTACTACTACTGCAACGAGACCACTGTCCTGAACAGATCTGGAACAGCGCCCATGGAGAGAAATACCTGCAGCACATAGCGCAATCAGCTATTTCATAGAAACTTTTTTTTTTCCTTCTCTTACGCTACTCCAATGTCTGCCAGGTCTTAATACTCTCTTCCAGAGTTGCACTTTTCAAAACACAGGAAAGTGAGGCTCCGAGGCCTGGGATATTTGGAAAAAGAAAAGGGAGTGGGAGCAAATCTTCAGCCTTCTGGCACTTAATGGGGAGCATATCAAGTTTGGGAAGAGGATAGCGGATCCGCAGACGGAAGGCGATTCCTTTCTTCTGATTTCCAATTGCTGGTGGGTATTGTACTCAGGCTAAATGAAGCATGAGCTTCCCAGAAGCAGTGAAACTTCCAGGAAATTCGTCTCTTTGCCCATATGAAACAAGACACGGGACAAAGACACAGTCAAAAGCTTCCAACTACTTTCTCCCTCCCTCTAATCTTGAGCTGCAGTTTAGAAGCCTGAACAGGAGATCAGAATATACACAAAACAAAGCTTTTAGAACAATATCTATATATTGATATGACAACCTTCCCAGCTGGCTAGACTTCCAATAGCTCCAGTCCAGAAACCATTAGCTATATGCCCAAGGTAAATAAACTAGGTTTATAGCTGTATTAGCGCCCTACTACTTCTGAACCAATAAAGCTACTAGATAGAAGCTGAGTACTGATAAAAGGTAACTAGTTACATTTCCTAATCTCCAACTTTAAAATTAAATGTACTACTAAAAAAAATAAAGCTTCTACAAGCCCCCTGCAATATCTGGGTTGGGGTTCTTAATTTCTAGTAGGTTTTCTGAGCTTATCTTCCAGGCTAGGAAAGACCCTAAGAATTTGTTTTTATCTATTGTACAGCCAAAGTCATCAATGTAGGGAGCAAAGTGTGTTCCAGGACCTGAATAGGTTGTTTCAGCCCTCAGGTTTCAAATTTTTGCTAGTTTAGTAGTTTGACAATGATTTTAAATAGACGATTTATTGGATACTTGGCAAAAAAAAAAAAAATCTCATTCATGGATATGGCAATAGCTATGCCTCCTAGTTCTTCTTGCACCAGCTTCAAGATTACCAGTCCTTAGCATTTACACACAGTCTTTGCCTGGATTTTTAACAATCCAGCATCAACAAAATCAAAGCCATACCAAAGACCCCACAAAGATCAGGCCTTATTTCATAATAAAATAAAATAAAAAATAAATAAAAAACACACACACACACATATCAAAAAACCCCCTACAGTGAAGCTTCAAGTCATCAAGTTGAGTTTATTTTACATTTTCCCTGACAATCTTGCAAGAAGAGCAAGGGGCCTAAGTGTGTAGCCACTGAAAAAAAATGTTGCATCTTTCATTACAATCTGTGTTTAGGTCTAGAGAAAAATACTAGCATTAATTTATGCATTTAAAAGTTTTCCACAGTTGACATTAGCTACTACTAGAGCCTACCACCACCGTCAGCATTTACCACTATGCTAGTCCATGCTGGCTATAAATTCTACTGACTGTGGAGGGTTTAATCAGAGCACGGATTATCCTCCAGATATCTCAAATGAAAGTCAACAGATTGTGTGTGTCACACAGATGGTCAGTTGAGGATATGTTCCTCACAAGAATTCTGATGTCTAGAGGAAGTACTATTTCTAGAAGAGCCATAATAACAACAAAATAATTTGAAAAGCGTTACTTACTAAATGCTTCCTCTGTGAGCTCCTCACTTAGACCATCTCCAGTTGTAACTGTTCCCCCAATTCCCTTTTCTCCTTTCATTGCCTGGAAAAATAAAATATAAAGAGTGTTTGCATTAGAGTACAGTCACTTTAAATCGTTTTGGGAAACCTCTAGTGAATGTTCAGAACTTGCAGAAGAGCCACTGTGCAGCAGTGGAAATTTCAAATCAAAAGTTTGCTTGCAGAAAGTCAGAGATCTGTAGTAACCCAGAAGGAACAGTTAGAGTGTTTATAAGAGATTACAGAATCTCAGAACACCTGATAACGTGTAACATTTGCTTACGAACCACAGGCAAGTGCCATCATCAGACAAGTGAGAGCTGACATTTAAAACCAAGATACTGGATTTCTTTCCCCGCAGCAACCACTACAGCCAGAAGGAGTATCAGCAGAGAAAGCAAAGGCTGCTGCCAGTCATCTGGATACAGCTTTATAACTAAGAAGCTTTATGATCTCTGCTTTTAAGAAAGAACATCTAGGAAAATAATATAGCTACAAGAAGTGTCCTCTGCAACCGTGTGGTTGAGAACAAACACAGAAGCTACAGAATGGAAACGCTTCACTACATACGGTACCCTGTAGACAGAACTAGCTGGAACAGAGGTTTAAAACTGACGGACAAAACCATCCAGTGCAAATATTAAAAGCCAGCCCCACTACTCTGCTACCACAACATACACATCTGCAAAAAAATTTACATTTCAGAATGAAACTAGAATAGACCCACTTCAGACTTTTCCAGAGAAGTACTGCAACTAGTTAGGCACCACTTGCATTTTTAATTCAAGCATACACAGCACTTGGACAGCATATACACCTGCTAGACAAAAGCAGAGAAAGACAGTACCTTGCAGTGATTCAAACTTTTTAGCTTGCACCTCCTTTTATTCAGTTAAACACCCTCCAACACTCCATTACAACACATGACCTTTTGGGAAAGGGAAACTTCATGTGCTATCAAGCAAATTAAATATCACTACTGAGTCTGACTCCATTAATTGAAAATGAAGGTTTACAGAACAAAGACAGTCCAAAGAGCATCTCTTTCTACCGCAGTGCCAATTTAGAAATCCCTGCTTCACTCATGCCAATAACACCGTGCAGCCATACTGACAGAGTGATCCACATTAAAAATACAGTACTTGTTCGGGGTTCTTTTTGCAGGATTATATTAACCCTGAACAATTTCTCCATTCAGAGTCGTGAGAAAGAGAGGTCACTGGATACAAGTGCCTTCCATTTCCTTGGTCAAATGTGGTATTCTGGGGTAACAGAATACCCAGGGGAAGAGGAAAGAACGCATAATTCTCTTTTGTTCTATTTTTTTCCCTCTTGTTTAGAGGCCAAAACCACGAACAGAAGCAAGTTCTATTTCAAAAAAAAAAGTCACTTTCTAATAGAGCAGGACTAAAGAAAATTTGTTTGCATCACATACTTAGCTTGTACTAGATACTGAAAGCAAACTGACAGGCTAAAACCCAGATTAATAAACCACTGTAGCAGATAGCTCTCTTATGCCAGAATAGCAGCTCACATGGAAAGCTTTTTCTCTTGCAGATCTGAAGCCCAGCACAACGGTAGGCATCAGGCTAGATCCTCAGAGGATGCAATTTAGTATAGTTTTATTGATTGCACCCAAAGATCGAAGTAAGTATTCTTAATAAGCACCTTTAAAGATCAGAGTGATCTATTACAAGCAATACGTTAGATAAGTTACTCAGCTGAAAGCTTTAGCTACTTTGAATATGCAAATCTAACCAAAATGCTTACTTCCTCCTTTTTCTCTTGATATCCTCTGGAATGCTTTTAAAAATTACATCAGTCCCTGACAACAGCTGTGAGATACTGTGCAAGCTAGCCATTATACAATTATAATGACAGGGAGCTAAGAATAAACACAATCAGGTTAAATCAATGAGGAAATACACTTTACCAACCTCTCTGAATTTTTGGAGGTACAACTTCAAAGGTTCAACATAGCTATCAAATCCCAAGGTAGACATGGCAAAGAGAATATCCTCTCCGTTGATGGTTTTTCTTTTCTCTTGGTGACACCTCTCGCTTGCTTCCGACGTTATAAAGCTGATGAATTCACTTACGCACTCTTGTACACATTCCTTTGCATCCTTCGCAATCTGATAAGGAAAAAGCATCACCAAGCAATAAATTAAGACCATCCTTCGGAGCAAAGTGATCAACACCCAGAGACCTCACCTGGAGTACGGATCAACTAACAACTCCCCTGGAATTTAGTGGTAGTTGCATGCCCTCAGCTCTCCTGGTCCTTAGGTGAATTGCCTCAAGTTCTACTGCATCTGCAGATTCCTGAAATACCACCTTGAAGTACGCCAGCATGTACCATCACAGATCCTCCACCTTCGGCCCCAGAAAAACACACTAGACAATAAAGGGAACACCCTGAAACCTGATACTGCTACCCATTTAGGCAATACCTGTATGTGAGGGAACCACTGGATGTCATCACTGCTCTATGTAAGCACAGCTGAATGTAGTTTTTAACAGTTTTACTATTTGATGATTTAAAGTTTTACTATTTCAGGCAGCACAGCTAACTGCCAGCATCTCCTGAACCCTTAACTGCATTCTGCACAAGCTTTTATGTATAAATGCAGCACAGTATTGTGCCTGGATTTGCTTACCTTTATCTTCTTTTTTAATCCTGTTCATTACAATGTCACAACCCACTTTCATTTTTGTTTTAATGCACCACTGCAGTACATTCCTACAGATCGGGCAATGACAGGTATTTCTACCCTGACTGGATTTCAGGGACTAAAACATATGCCTAGCAGCAAACCTCTCTAACACTTTCATATTCTGGTATAAGTTTTCTAAAATGAGAATTCAAATGAACAAACATATACCCCAGGCAAGAATGAAATAAGTAAATTTGATTCTGGTTTTCAGCTGGACAAAAGTAATTTACCTGACTTAAAATAAGAGCAAGTGTTGCTCATGATTATTTGGGCACCAACTGAAGGATTAAAATTAGTGGGGTTCTTTTTCTTGACAGGAGAAGAACGCTTTTTTTTTTTTTTTTTTAAATACAAAGGCAGAAACACCATGTAGAATCTTCACTCGTTCCTCTGATATTTTCAGACACATAGGGCCAGATTTTCAGAAGTACTCAGCCAACAGCTTCCTTTGCAGTTTTTCACAAAAACCTCCCCAATTTTTCAAGATAGCTCAGCATCCCATATGCTAAATCCTTGAGAAAAATCTCATCTTGATTGCTATGAATTTATGACAATATGGACTAGTGAAGACATTTTTGCAGCAAAGATATAAATGTAACACCCAGAAAACCCTGAACGCTATCAAAGTACAAGCAGATGCAAGTAAATCATCTCTTGCTTCTATTTAGAGGGATCTATTACCAAAAAAAAAAAAGCTTTAGCTAGAAAAAAGTTATTGAGGCAAGAAGGAGTATTGGAATGCAACAGAGGAACAGCAAGTTGTTTCTGAATGTTACACAACATTTTGATCTTAGCAATAGCCCTGCAAAGGTTGAAGATAAATAGGTAGAATGTTCAAATAATATTATAAAGCTATGAGGTTGGTAGAATTGATTAAAGGTCTGTTCTTAGAAGCAGGAAGTAAAAGTCGTCCTTCAATACCTGGCCTTAGTGGCTGCAATGGTATAGGGCAGGCGACTTAGGTCATTTTGGCATTCGGACATGCAAAGATTCAGGTGATGGAAAAACTAATCGTTCTCTTTCCTTGCGATTGAGGAATTGATTTTTTTATTTCATCCAAAATGGTTCACTTATTCCAACTTTTAAACACTTCAACAAAAGGAGAAGACTAAATTCATAGCAAAGAATCGCATAGAAAATATGCTTGCTGATATGGGATTGTCACCAAGCCTGACTTGTTGTGACAGCTTCAGAGAACACGTCTTCAAAAAAAGAATGCTCCTGAAAGCCATACGAAGGGTGCTGTTGTGGATACTAGAGTTATGGACGTTACTAAGAGCTTTCAAAAACCTAACAAAAAGGAACTTGATCTCGAGCACCTTCTGCTTAGATTCTTTTTTATTCGAAAGGCTTTCCTCCAATAAATCAAAATCATTTGGGGAAAAAAAAAGTATTGTTCTACTAGCTCAAATTCATTCAGAGGAATGAATGAAACTCATTAATATACTTTCTTCATCAGATAAGGATATTACCTTTCCTGTCTGGGGTATGGCATTTTTCATTATCCTTGCCACGTTTGCAATTGGAAGATAGATATCTTGTTCTCTAAAACTCTCTTTAGAGCCATTTGTATCTTCATGATCATTCATGCTGTCCTCTGTGTCTAATGAAATAAAGAAAAGTTAGTAGAAATTGTACTTGATAGGTAATTGGCTGCAATTAAGTCAGTTTAAAGTCTTACACTGAAGGATTAAGAACTTTTGAAAGCCCAAAATATTAACGTTGTAGAAAGAGAAGAACAGATATAACACTGGGGTACCTATAAGGGTATTTTAGATCATCTTTATCATATTATGCACATAAATGGACGTAGCTGCTGACTGGAATTACAAATGCCATTGTAAACATTTCTCTTCTAATACCACAACAATTCTTAATGTCATGCCAAAATAAAGCTTCTGTCCTAGAACATCGAAAAAAAAGTTTTGCAGGGATTCTATGTCAACACTGAAAAATCCAAAACCTATCTTCAAACGGCATGAAAAACCGTTGTATGCAGTGAGGCATTATGAGCACAAACAATTGCAAACTCCTGGCTTTACAGAAGACAGCAAACAACCAAACAAGAAGAGGAAAGAAAGACAGAGAGAGAAATAGTAGTATTTATGTTTCTTACCATCATGAGGCTGTATCACATAGTGACTGCTGCCAATGTAATCTCCAGCAATTCCTAACTGAGAAGCATCTGTTGTAGAGCTATCACCATCCATCTATAACCAGAAGAAGCAAACTTTTCAGATACCTGGTTTTTTATCTCATAATTGCATCCATTGCTGAAAAACAGCACTTTAACTTTGAAATATGAGACCAATTTATACAAAGTATAAGCAAGCATCTTGCCATTTGAGAACAGTATATTCTCTTTCTGAGCATATATACATATATATTACTGAACTTTAATTGTTTTGACTCCAATCAGTCCTTCAGATTTAACATACTAAAGAATAACTCCTGCAGTGTACTTCTTTCATAAGAAAAATGCTAAACTAAAGGAAAAATCATCATCTAAAGGAAGACTAGTTTACTGTTTTTCATTAACACAAAGCTTAGCACTTCCCATAATATTTCTTTGTGGAACAGCCTAGAGCCCATTCCCAGATCACACACCAGAGTCAACTATTTCAGCTTGATGATTAAAAAGCAGAATCATAGGCAGTCACAAACTAAATTGCAAGATCATGCTAAAAAAGTGAAGTGATTAAAAGTAGTTACTCCCTTCATCTTGAAAAGCATCGGTGACAAGTGGATTTTCACTCTTTTTTCAGTAGAGATTTCTAAGGTCATCTAAGACTATTTTTATGAGGCTATGAATTGCTTTTGACACTACTCTCTGAGCCTAGGACCAAACCCCAGTAAACTTCACCTGTGAGCCTGAACTCAGTTGAGTCTTCAAAATATACAGTCCAGGGAAAACTAGCTGCTAGTTGCTTTTGACAGTGAAAGTAGAGAAACTATTTTGTGAAACTCCCCCAAAATTCACCTGGAAGCACAGGCCATGAACAGAAATGTTTGATTCGTGCAGCACATACACATACGTACATACTGACATACATACATATATGGCAACCTTGTACTATTACCATGACAGTCTGATCAGAACAGGTCAAGGCATTCGTTTTTCTGAACACCCCTCTAAACTTAATCCCAACCCAAAGCTCACCAAATGCCTTACCTGCAATTATTATACAAGTGCACCATTCACAAACAGCTTTTGCTAAGGCAGTCGACAAAACTTTTCCTAGCCAAACCTCAGGACCAGCTCTGCGTCCTCATCCTCCTTGAGGCATCAGCCACTCTAAGGCAGCCTTAGAGTCGTGTTTGTCTTTGCCTTCCGTGCTTCCATCCTGCCTCGCTTCTCCTACCGCTTCCCCAGGCATCCTTCGTTGCTCCTCTCACAATGTTCTTATGTGGCAGCTCAAGAGAAGTCGTCTTCTTGCAGCTTTAAAGACTGGTTCACAGTTTAATAGGTAATTTAAATACTAGTAGAAAGATGGAGGCCTAAAGAGCCAGTGCTGCTCTCCCCAGCTGCAGACCCCATCCTAGGAGACCCTGGTGACCTTCCAGGAGGTGCCACGTTTCCGTCTCAGGAGCCCTGAGAGGCGCCTGCCCTTCCCATCTTCCCCCTTCCAAAGTGGGCACAACTTCCAGCATTTTCAGCAGTCATTTATCAGTAAGTCTCAATTATCTTCATTACTTAATAAATAAAGACTACGGGTTCTAGTCTTTTCATAGTACTGCACTAAACTATGGCCATGACCCAGAGGCTCTTCTGCAGCCAACCGTTTTACAGTTTGAAGACTCCGAGCATATTGTGCCTCCTCTTTCTTCTGCAGAGGCCAAAAAGGGGCAGGTATCTCCTATTTCCCTTAAAAGTTGGCACCTGTTTAGTAAGGACTTCCCAAAAGCAAACAGCAATCCAATAGACCACTGCCTTTTACATCCACGTTTTGTCACTGCATACATACTCAGATACACATGCATTTCTGCAACAGCAAACGCTTTAGCCCATGTTAGCCGTTGCCATTCATAATCACTTGCTCAGTAGAAAGCTTAGACCTATACAAAAGCATGGCAGACAATAGCTCCGCTTTGAAAAGGGTTATTTTAGCAGTGCCAAATATAAATTTGACTCTGCAACTTCTTTAAACTTTTGAACAATCTTGGCATTTTTCCAGTTGCAGATGCCTTGAAAATTAGTCTACAAAAAAAAAAAAAAAACTTTGCAGAACATTTAACTCCCATATGTCACTATTATCAGCTTTCTTTTTAAATATAAGACTGTATTTTTGCAGTCGTGTGCTTTAATAACGCTACTGTTGGAGAAGAGAAACAATGCAGAAACTACGGGGACAGGGGCTCCCAGCATATGCAGAACTCTTTCAATGTTGACCCCAACATCCAAAGACTTTTTTAAAATCCATTTACACACACAGCATCAGATTCACCCTTACTCCAACTTCTCCTGGCTATGTTTAACATCCAACTATTCTGTTAACATTCTGTTATTTACCTGTTTGCTGGAAAGTTAGCTCTTCTATTCCCATCCTACTCTTCACTTAGTTCTACTTTCTCCTGACGTGCACTTCCCACCCTTCCCTCCTTCTCCAGCAGTTGTTTCCGACCAGAGCAGCTGGCCTTACTGTCAAAATACACACGTAGCCCAGCGAGATCTAAAACCTGACTGAATTAACTCTACCTTCCTACCCCAGCAGTTTAGATACCTCAGGTGTCTTTGGAAGAGGCTGCCAGTAGCAACTCGTGCCCCAAAAGGTAGAGGTGAACAGGAAAGAACAGAGATACTCTGACAAATCATTGCCAGTTTTGTCAAGTCAGTTTGGCTATATGGATCTGGGGGGGAAGTTTTGCTGGTCTGCCTTTTTTCTTAACTGTAGCGTGGTCATTCCCGATGAGACTTCACTTGTTTCCAGACCAGGAACAGGCAGAGGGAGGGAGAAGCAATCTTGTGCTATTTTTACACCTATCCTGAAACATGAGCAATTTAACTTCTCTCTAACTTGACCTTTTTCTGTGGCCACAAGTACAAGGTTTTGCTTTCAAATCTTTAAGCAACATCCAGGACTACACGTGGCTACAGATGCACCAGTAACCCAAGTGCTATTCACATTCTGGACAATATTACAACAGCTGAATATAGCCTTGGGAGCTGTTTAAGAGAAAAAAAAACAACTCTTCTACCTCCTCTTCATTGTGCAGAGTATTACACAGATGCACATATTGCTTCTTTTAAAGCACTTCTGGTCCTTTTTCAGAGGCTTTTGTGAAATGGTTTCACTTCTTACATAGCAGCTCTATCCAAAAAGGAGGACAGTGTTTTAAGCATTTGCTTCCCATGTGCCAACCTTCACGCAAGTTTGCTTTGTCCGCATCTTGCAAACTCCTTGCTGGAGACTTAACTTTGCTTTTCAGTTTTCCAAAGGGTCTGCAGGCTGCTTACTCAGCTTGCTGCAACGACAAGTATCATGGCAGCACTGCAAGAGTAACACAACCCTGTGGGTCAAGAACACCAAAATTATTAGACATCAGTATTACCACAGTTTAAGACACCAGGTTTTGTCTTCTCCTCCGCATTGCTCAGTTGCGTCTGGCCTCTGCTTGCCTCGAAGTTAGAAGGACGGCAGCTCCATCACCTCTCTCTGCGCCAGCAGGAGGGACAGTGAGGACTGTAGTATCCTGGCCTAGCCTTGGCCAGTAGTAACTCTCCTCCTGGTAGAGCCAGCTGTGGGGGGAATGGAAGGAAGTTGTTCTACAGGGGTAGGAAACCCCAGCACAGGCTCCACAATGGAATGAAACTCCTCAAGGACGTTTTCTAGTCTTACCATGCAGGAGACTGTGGGGAGAAACAGCAAAAAAGGGGGAGAGAATTCTGCCCCTCATCTCTGTCCCACCCACTCATCTAAAGGACTTAACCGTACTGCAAGGATCACGAAAGGTTCAAATGACATCACCCATCACTAAAATAGTTATCACTCTCTCCCATCCACAATGTGAAGTGATTATGGTCTGCAGCTTGGTAAACTCCAACAGCTACCTCTAAAATTAAGCCAGGATTTTCTTGCTGTCTTGTTCTCAGTTTTGGCTCTCTGATCCATGTGAGAATTTAACTTGGGATTAGGGACTCCACAAACTTCTTCAAGTGTTAAGTTCACCCAGCCACAGATCTACTACAAATACCTTGAGGTTTTTTTCTTCTTTTTTTTTTTTTTTTTTTTTTTAGGTCTTCTATGAAACATATCCTCTGCCGTGTTTCCTTCTTTTGGAATTGCAATACTCTTCAAATTTCTGCAGTGATATGATAATTCACTTGTTTCTGCTCACCCATCCTGCAGGTTACTCAATCTGCATCTTTATTATCAAATCCCAGTAATACTAGGAAACAAATAGCCACCTTCTGCTTCATCTGCCTGTTCATTAGGTCCACTCGTCTTCAAAAGATGATGCTTGTATGAATCTCTTCTAAATGTCTGCTGCATCTCTACATAGTTTTTTGGCTTCATTGGATTAACACATCCTCCAGGTACTATCTTTGTTTTTATTCTTCGTTCCTGCATGCTCATTTCCATTTCTACCAATAGCATGTGTTATCTGACAATTAGTGAGACTGTTTTAGTGGAAGCTTATCAACACGATGAATCTAAACCAGCAACTAGATAGACTAACAGAATCCAGTTAAGTTAGTGAAAGAGTTTGCAAGAGAGACAAGCAGATGTGTCTCAGATAAAGAGACTAGACACCGACAGCCTAATATCAGCTGAAATTACTTCTGTAGGTATTACTTTAAGAAAGGCTTTTTAGCTGCCAGGATGACCTTGGGAGAGCGGATTAGGGACCATATAACGCCTTTCTGCGTAACACCTAAACGCTTCGCATAACCAGCTCCTGAGCTGGGATCACAGGATAATTCAGATGGGAAGGGACCTCCAGAGGTCTGTAGTCCAACCTCCTGCTCAAAGCAGGGTCAGCTCTGGTATCAGACCAGGTTACTGAGGGCTTTATCCAAGCGAGTCTTGAAAGCTCCAAGGATGGAGGCCTGCCCAACCTCTCCAGGAGCCTGCTCCCCTGCTTGACTGTCCTCATGGGGGGGGAAAAAAAGGAATGGCATCTCTGAACATTATTTCAACCTAAATAAGTTTCATGGAAGAATATCAGTCAGATTTATTATTATTTGTTATTTAATTCAAATCTAGATCTAAGCATTTGAAAATAGTAGCTTTACTTAATAAACCATCTAGCCACCCTACTAATATTTTTTGAGCTCTGCAGATGACAAACATGACCTTGTCTAAAAATGTGGCCACTGCTACCCTAATTATCTCAATGAACAATTATGTGCTCAGGTATTATGGTATAAATTTCAGATGTGTAAAACTCAAACATAGCCATTTAATCTGCCACATTTTTAACACTGAATATCAAGCCAGCACAAGGTCCATAATACATACAACACAATCCACTGCTGAGAAAACACTGTTGCTAATTAACTTCCACTGTTTTTAAAAACCTTCAGTCTTGCTGAAGTTATTCTAAAAATGCAGCAGTACAACGTAGCATAGAAACAACATTCGACCTACAGTAATCAGAGCCACTGGAAAACTGGAAAGGGACAACAGTCCCTCCAAGACTGGCACTTTTAGTAGCAAAAAAAAAAAAAACCCAACTTCTTTGAATGGAAATGGATGCTAAATTTCCTAGACAAAAATCTTGGAAGATTTAATCCTCAAAAGTTCAGGGAGCTACGTGCTCTTCTCTGAGTTTACGTTAGTTCCCAGAGCTATTACAACTGTACTTTCAGGCAAAAGATCACATCTCCTATTTGCATGGGAGTTTCGGCATGCAGACGCTACAAATGTCTTTTAATACATGACAGAATCTCCTAAATCTGCAAGGAAAACTGTGATTCAGTGGGGTGGGTGGTGAAGGGTCCAGCTTCCAGCAAACTGATTTAGTAGCATTTTCTATGCAAATTTGAAAAATAAACAAACAAGCAAGCAAACACCACCACCCCCTGCCGCATCCATCATGCAAGTCACTACCTTCAGCCTGTTTAGGAAAACACTAAAGCTCCTCCATATATATACTTATTGACTGAACCAAAACTAAAAAACTAAGCAAATTAGGAGTGACAACATGTCACTCTTTGAAGTGACCATGCCATCATCTGATTTTGTCAATGGTGAGGGAGAGAAAGCAAAAGCACAGGACGTTGATCCAAATATTCAGTGATATATTGCAAAAATCATTTAAATACAAAGAAACAGCAGAAAGGCATGGGTTGTTTTTGGTTTTTTATTTTTTTTAAAACTCTGGCAGAGAAGAACTTTATTAGGAAGATTCAAATTAACAGATCCAGGGAAAGTAACCTGAGAAATATGTTAGGAGGGAAACATTTCGGACTAAGGCATTGAAGAAAACTCAACGATAAGTGGCAAGTGAATGTGCATACAGCTTTACACTGCCAACTGGTAGAAGTTTTTCTGGAGGTTTTGCTTAAAAAAATGCTTCTGTCAACTGCTCACAACCGAGTCTGTTCCTAGAATACATCTACGCTATGAGTTAAGAAAACCTCAATATCACTACAATTAAACAGGATGCAAGAGTCACTTAAGAGTTCTCTTTAACAGAAGAGTATCCGTGGCTCAGCTAAATAACAACTAAGGAAGAACACAAGCCCAGAAGTGTTAACGCTGAGAAAAGGACTTAAACACAGATCAGCATAAAGGGCAAAACCAAAAGAAAAGATTTTTGCCTGCGGAACGGGGAAGTTACCCGAAAGCAACTTGCAAGATTGGTCTCTCAAGGGAAACCAAAGACCTCTTGCAACTTAAGCACTTAACATAGTATTTATCCATCCCATTTCTCCCAAAATTGCTACCCCTCAAGAGGAACAGCAGGAAATGGTGTGCAATAAACTGAAGCAGCTGGTACACATTCCTCATGGTTGTCCCTGCCGCAGAAGCTGGGCAGCAACTAAAGCTGCAGGCAGTACCCACTTCCACCATCCTAGACTAATTGGCCATCACACCTGCCTATCAAAGGCAATGTACACCTGTAATGCAGGGCCTAGCTGCAAACAGAGAAAACTTAAGTTTTATTTGAGCTTTCTGCACCCTCACTTGCTGCCTCTACACCAATATAAAGAAAGAATTTTTAATTGAAAAGCAATTTTAGTTTTCATGGATTGCCAAAGAACCCAATTCCCCACTGAATTCTCACCTGCTAGCAGAACAATGTTTCCTACAGGAAGAAACACTGACAGGTAAGTGCATTCACGGGATACAGGAACATCATTCCAGCAGTTCCACAAAAATTTAAAGTTAAAAACCCTTAGTATGTACCTAGAATATACAAACAGGTGCTGCAGTCTTTCTCAGTCTCAAGCTCCTCTAATCTTTCCTTGTTCGGTGTTTTCACCAACAGCAGAGTAATGTTAGCAAAAGCAAACTGATGTTAAAAGCATCCGACAGCTTCACCAACACTAGTTAGCATCTAGCCTGTACCAGGTTCCTGGACCAGAGAAAGGAAACCTTTCCCTTATGAAATCCAAATAGGGCCTTTTGACCCTTCTATCTTCCCTCTCTGCCCCCCTAACCCAATACATTGATATTATCATCAATAGTGCCAAAAATTATGTAGCTCATGTCACAAGCCCTAATGTCATAGGCCATGAGCTCCCCCCCCCCACCCTGTGCAGATCCATCTGTACTAAAATACCAACTCCTTACTATGCTAAATAACTGCTTGCAAGCAGGATTAGATGCAATATAGGTGGATTAACAAGATATAGATTTTTACTTCAAGTATGAGTGGATTAGCACAACAGTGATACAGCAGAAGGAAGGAAGGACCTGCAGAAGCAGATACAGCAAGCAGAAGGACCTGTCTTGGTTTCCATTACTTCTCTTTTTTGGCAGTAAAAGAGGGAGAAGCTGGGAAAAAGCCTAGACAAACTAAGGAATTCATGCAGAATAAATGCTTTGGCAGAAGCTGGAACAAAGCAGCAGTGCTGAAGAGACAGCACCAGCAGCTCCTTCCTGCTGCAGCAGCACCAACTGCAAGGGCCATATTAGTGCCTGTATTAAGTTTTTACTATTGTCCTAGTATCTTTGGTGAAAAATTAGGCTTATCTATTTATTAAAACAGTAACCTACAA